TCCAGACAGTTCTGTGTGTTGTGTGTGGGTGGAGGGGGTGAGACAGTAGTGGTGGGACAGTAATAAGTATCCCTGGTGGCAAAAAACTAATGGGGGGGTCGTTTCTTAACAGTTATCCTTTTCCAAATAAGAGAGAACATAACCGCGTTTTTGCATTGTACCCCTGACTCTACTTGGAAGCAACTTAGAAATAGCTAACTAATTTTGCAGGTTGTGTATCCCTGGCGGAATTGCGTCTTCTGTCTCACCTGTTATGAAGTACGATGGAGAATGGCCTCCGTGCCTTGAGGAGGAGGGAGCACCAGGTAAGTGAGGAACACCAGGAGACAGCTTCAACCCGGAGAGGAGACTGAAACGCGAGGTAGACTTCTCCACGTTTTTCGAAGTCGTTTGCAGAACTCGGACAATCTCGTAGAGGGAACGCGTTCTGCATGACGTTGTATTTGAAGTGAAGCAAGGAAACTGAGTCATCGCACGAAGAGTCCATCTCTGTCTGCGAGGCGGGCGGGCCGGGGGGGGTTCTAGAGTGGGCAGTTCCTTGTAGGAGGTGGGTGGGGCTGGTTTGTTGAAAAAAAAGAGACAATTCCCAAATATTACAATGGAATGGTACGCGACCAGGATGTTTTCTCAACTCTCCATTTGGATGCGCACCGCTCGTTGTGTGAGGAATAGAGATGATGGAAACGTTACAACGTTTTCCTCGGTTTGTTAAGTGCTGTGTGCTGGCGCCTCTCTTCCTCCAGTCCAGCGAACCAGGATACGCAGTTAGCTGAGCTACAATCAGGGGACGAGGACTCAACTATCTGACACCAAGTGTCGGCGGTCCAAGAAAGGTCACCAGGTGTTCGCCTACGGCGGGGTCGCTGCGCAAAGGCCAGCAGCAGCAGTCATTTACGGTTTATGACGAGACGCTGGGTGTTTATGTTGGCGTTCGTCCCGCCTCTAAGTGGGACAAGTTCTACCAATCTGGAGAGCGTACGACCGCCGAGACTTTGCCAAAGATTCATGGCTCCGTTCAACGGGAGTCTATCGTCGGATAGGCCGTTGCTACGTGCAAGGGACGACACAGCGGACTTTACCGCGGTAGTGTAGTGGACCACCAGGGACGTGCAGGAACCGCACAATATCACGGCTCGTCCACGGGCAGTACTTCACCGTTCGCATCTTCTCCCCCTTGCCACCCAGTACTACTATCTTTCCTTGTAGCTTGCATCCATGAACAACGGGAGTAGGCCATGTGAATGGTTCGACGAGTGGCTCTGTAGCCATAGACTTTAACGTCATCCATACATGTGAACCCAAGACCCTCGGGTTCCCCCCAACCCTTTCATTAACGAGTTTTATCCTACAAACTCTATCACACGGGGATGGCTGACGTTCCTGGACGCAAGGCTCCGGCAGAGCGACGGCACCGGCCGAGGGCGGGCCACCGCCGCATGCACTACGTTATTTGCACCCGGCCCAAACTACAAACACCACAGGAATCACACTCATATCACAAGTTCTCTCTGGCTCTCGAGACGATTCATGATTCTTCTTAGTAATGGAGGCCCCACTACTGTGTGTTATCTGAGGACGGGGTAGGTCTGGCGGCCCCTCCTCTTACATGGGGCGAGGACTCAACTTCATCTCGGATGGCTTACTCATCCTCAGGATCCTCATCCTCCTCCGTGGGATGGGAAGGGATGGCAGATCACTACGCCACTGTCAGATGGAGGGAGAAACCACTCTGTCGTGGTGGCAGTGGATGTCTATATTGTAGTCTCAGGCATCTTCTTTCATGATCTTGTGAGTGGCAGTTCATATGTACACACATTTAGCTAACAAGCAAGCCTGCCTAATAGTTTTCCTTGAAATATAGCATTTAAAGTTGCTCTTGCAATGGATCGTTATGGTCAACAAAATAATGTTGTTGGGTTGGCTGTATTTATGTTTACTAAATTGAAAGGGTTCTCCTCTTGCTCCCGGCTCACAGGGACAGGAGCAGCTGGTGTTTCCGTTCTCAGCAGCACGCCAAATAGATTTCTACCAGGGGACCGGGCTTGGCAGGGCTCATTTGCGCATACCGTTCGTCCTACTCCTGCTACATCATGTGGAGATGCGACAGTCTATCTCTGAGAACAGGAGATAAAACTCATTCTCTACGGAGGGACTCAGCGGAACGCTACAGCGTTTTGTGTTGTCTACTTAGTTTCTGGTTCTGTTATATTCCCCTTTTCGTGAACAAATATTATGGAGTATGCGAAACCCCGTGGAGAGAACTCGAGTCATCGGGTTGTTCCTGTTCTGACCTTGACCCTTGTGAATAAATATGGTTAATGGTTATGCTGATGATGTCCAAAGTCGTTAATTATTGTCTTTTTTCGCACAAGCAGTTATTTCCCAGTTTCCAAGCCATCTGCTTAAACCCTCTCTCGGGTCCACCATGGGGAGAATCTAAGACAAGTGGCGATCACTCACTATCGCACCATCAGTAACATCGAGCACTTACGATGAGAGTACAAATGACACACCCTCGCCTCTTTTCAACAACCATAATTCTGTTTTAATAAGTGTGTAGGAATACACATGGTAATGTTTTTCCACCAATTGGTGACTTGCGAATTAATTACTGTGCAGATGAGAAAAATATTAGTGAGAATATGAAAGTTGATAAACTATGTTTGTTAGTGCATCCTCCTCTCCACTGCCAAGGAATGTTGGAGGCAGGAGGGTAGGGGGAAAAGGAAGAGATACGGGGAGATGTGAGAGATAGGAACGCGGAGAAGGGTGAAAGGCACACCAGAAGAGGAGAAAAGAGAAAGGAGGGGGGGTGTGATGGTGGGGTGTGTCTGGCTACTCTCTCTCCTCCTCCTCCCCCCGCCCCCAATCCCACTCCTATCTTCCTCCAGGAACAGGAGATGGCTCTACAGTGAGATAACCCTCATGTCTAACAACAAAAAACGACTAACAAACATCATCCCACGAATAATTTACACTGTGTTAGAATACTGTGAAGAAAGCTATATCTAGCACTCTCTATATAAACAAAGGGTTTGAGGAGAGAATAGGTACTGTAACAACATTGAAGTCATGCACACGATGTTGCTATAAGTGTACGGTTCCATTCCCAAAAGTGTTTTGAGACGAACATAAACTGTACAAATATATAGGAAACAGACATGGCGTTAAACTTCGTCCTCAGCATATCCCTGTGCTTCACAATACTAGTTTGGAGGTCATGGCTGGACTCTCCGGTCCGACCTCTCCTCTCATTTTCCTCAGCTGCACCCTGGAGACGAGAGACAGAGACCCCTCACTATCCTCAGTTTCTCCGTGCCACACACTGACTTCGGACCTGTCTCATCTCGTTGTAAAAGATTACCTTCAGCTAGGCCTCACCACATAAAGAAAGAGGTTTGCCCTGTATATACACACACACACACACACACACACAGAGGAAGCGTTTTGAAAATAGATATATGAAGGGAAGAAGCGCATTTCACCTCGTATCCTTTGCTGGCTTTGTTTTCACGTACCCATTGTATTCCTAGTCAGACGTATGACTCATCCTACAGACAGTCAAACACCTTGTTCTCAGTTTCTTGAGTGACTCTAGTCTCTCTCCCTCTTTCTCTGTTCTGAGAGAGAACAACTACTTCGTGTTCGTGGTCTCCGCTCGAGGGGCCTCAGCTCTCTCCGAGTGGTCTGGTGCGGAGTGAGTCTGGTGTGGGAGAAAGTAGGCCCACAAACTGTTCGTTGTTCTCGTCCATCATTCCCTTCACCATCACACAAGGCAGAGGATACAAGGGAGAGTAGGTGGGTTATAAAGGTGTGTTTACACAGAGAGAGAGAGAGTGGAAGGAGAGAAGAGGAAAGGAGACTGATCATGGCTCTTGACATCTCCTTGCTCTGCTGGCCCGGGTTCTTGCCTGCCACTGCTGGGTCTGAGTCAAATATCACTTGAGCAAACGGCAGTTTCCACAGCTGTTGCATGAGAGGGCTAAAGTGGGTTGAGAGGGCCACAGCTAGTAGTGGAGGACTTACATCAAAGTCTGGGAAGAGAGGGTGAACTGTTTTTGCTGTCACCCCAGGTTTACTGTAGTGTTTGGTGATCTAAATGAGGCAGCAGGGAGTGAGAGAGAGAAAGACAGCTGGATGAAGGATTAACTCACAGGCTGTTTGGCTGCCTCAAACGTAGCCTCGATAGCTGAAATCTGACTGGCTCTGTCCTACAAGAAGACAGACTCTGAGATACTTCTCCTGTGTGTACATAACATAATACACACCTTGTATGTGTCCATACTCTGTAGTCTCTTCTTCACACTGTACCCCACTCTGCACAGGCCAGGGGGTGACATACACACACTCTGGAGTGTGGCTCACTTGTTCTCAGCTCCCTCCATGGAGGAATGGGGTCTGGAGTACTCCGTCGATATGTACTCCGTCCTCCGTAGCCAAGACACATTTCTAGCATGCTGCTTCGCTCTAGGGGAGGAAATAGACGGAGGTCGAGGAGGAACAGTGAAAGAGGTGAATGCTGGGAGAGAAAACTTTATAGTGGTCGGTTTTTTTTCTACAGTAAATTTTGTAGGAGTGCTGCTCTAAGGTATGCGAATGAGTATACCTTTTTGACTCAGGTTGTTGGAGGACCTCTTCCTCCAGTAGAGCTGCGTCTGTCGGGTCCAGCGAGGCTAGATACGAAGAGAAAACAATACTCACTTCTCTCAGTATATACACAGGACGGAACACCTGAAGGATCGTTGTTCTCATATGTCTCAGGCAGGACCAGGTCAATGGGTATACCGAGGTCCACCTCAGTCAGCAGCTCATGGCTGTGGTTCCTCTCAAGACTTGTTGGATTGTACTGAATGTACCTGCATTATGTCCACATCTCACACTCTCTTACACTGACAGAGAGAGCTTTACCTCTGGGAGTCAAAGGGGTAGCTGAGGAACTTTGGACCAAAGGGAACGTCGGGGAGATTGTTCTTGTACTTGACAGAGCAGAGCAGGTCCACAGTCCTAGTGGGGTGGGGGGCAGGGAGGGAGGGGTGTCAGAGGAAGATGGTGGGTCTTACCTGGAGCTGGAGCTCCGCTTATCGCCTCTGGAGGCAGTGAAGGCCAGTAGCAGCTATCAGAATAGGGAACAGAACAGACCAACTCACGCTTTCTTGCTTTGCTTGGTCTCCACAGACGTCGGCATTACAGTGATCTCGCTACCCCGTCAGCGCGCGCATGCGCAATGAAGGTCACACCTAGGGGGGTCCGTACCGGGTGTACGGGTGCCAATGGCGAGAGTGGGCGTGTACCGGAGCCTGGAGGTAGAAGGTACAGTTCTTTCAGTTCCTGGGAAAGCTCGTGTACTGCCTCTCTCTGACCCAGCTGTGGGGGAGGATGAGTTTGTCAACAAGATTCTGTGGCAGGGGGAGAAGAACTTGCCATTGAGGTCAGCCTATGGAGGACAGGTGGTAGGGCAGGCTCTGATGGCTGCCTGCCACACCATCACTGATCCAGAGCTCCTACTCATCTCTGCCCACTGCTACTTTCTCTCCCCTGTCAAGACCAATGAACGTGTCACATACCGCGTCACTCGCACAAAAGACGGTCGGTTTTTCAGCTCACGCTCTGTGCAGGCTCTCCAGGGAGGGAAAGTGGTCTCCCACACTATCGCCTCCTTCAAGAGACTGGAGTCAAACCCACACTGTCTCTCACACTCACCCCCAGGGATTCCCCCAGGGATTTTCCCTCCCGACGACCCTCGGCATGACCAGGAACAGCTCTATTTCAACAATAAACTGGAGTTATCTACCTCTCCGTTCAATGCCTACTACTGCTTCAGAAAGACTGACCAGACAAAGATACTTGCCAGAGAGCCTCTGCCTCCAAAGTTAGCGGCATCACTTGTCCACAGATCCTATATCTCTTTCATGAGTTGTTCACCCCCAGGATGCTGATGTGGATGAAAGCTCGTGGGGAATTCCCTGAATCATGCAGTTTGAACGAGCATCGAGTGGCGCTGGCGTTTCTCTCAGATTTCTCCATGATCTACCCCCTGTCACTGAAGTACCCCGAGGTGAAGGTGGGACTGAGGACCTCTCTGGACCACTCAATATGGTTCCACGGGCCAGTCTACTGTGGAGACACATGGTTCCTGATGAATATCCGATGTGTCCAGGCTGGGGAAAGCACTACTCTCAATTCTGGTCTGATGTACAGTGAAGATGGGACTCTGGTGGCCACCTGCCAGCAACAGGGACTCTACAGACTCAATTCTAAACTGTGATTTGTCAATATTTATGGGGCAAAAGTATTATGAATGGCAGTCTGCAGTGGCATCGCTGTCACGCATGCGCATACGTGACTAGCTTTAGGTGTATAGGTAGTGTCGTATGATGCCGAAGAGAAAGAATCCGTTCGGAGAGTATACTCCGCTGCAGTGCAAGACGCACGTCGGCTTCGAGCAGATGGCTACGGAGGAGGAGAGACAGGCGGTGTTTGGTGAGCCCTGATATCATAAATGTAAATCATTTCGGCTCCCACTGTAGAGAAAACGAAGGCCCTTCTGTTCCAAGGAGCCAGCGGTCGTTCAAACGGAGATACAGCTCTACCGCCAGCTGGTTCGATTAGAGACAATCACAGCGGGGTCCACTCATTTGACAGAGATTCTTCAAAGTCTCATATTGCAAGAAATAATGGCAGCACAGAGACGGTTTCGACTGAGTCCAGAGAACGGACTGGGCTCCTGGACTATTTTACTTCATCTGGTGGGGGAAAGTTGGGCCTTCGGGGAGGGGGGTGTAGAGGTGTGGGGGGAGAGTGTAGTGGGTGCAAAGGTCGTCAAAGGGAGGCGTGGTCTTGTGCTCACTGTGAGGGGGTGATGTGTGGTGAGTGTAGTCGGCAGTGCTGGCACTGTCAGGCCACCTTCTGCTCAAACTGCTCCGTCCTCAAGTGAGTAAGTCTCTGTGATCATTACCCAATTCTACTGTTTACCACATGCAGCTATGATGAAACCCATCTCCGCTCCTTCTGCCTCAACTGCCTGCCATAGAACTAAGTTTCTGACCCACACCTCACACCCAACCTCCCCTCGCTTATTGTTCACCCTGTATAATACTTGTTGCTGCTTTGAAATTATTGTTGAGCTAATGTTGTGTGATCATGGAATGGAGTCTGGGAACAGGACTCTGTCTAGAGCAAAGTCCTGGTCATTGGTGGGTATGTGGCTGCATCTCTGGCAAGAGAATCCCAGTCCTGAGTATATGATGATAAAAATAAACTGGAGGGAAGTTTGACTCTATATATATTATACCTAATGTCTTTGGTCTGAAGCCAGCTGTGATGCATCTTGTCAGGTAGGTATCATAGTATCCCTAGAATCAGAGAGAATAGTCGGAGTTCTTATAGTGGCAGAGAATAGCTTACCTTCCCCCTGCCAATCCTCAGTCCAGTCTACATACACACCGTAATAACAGACAACGATTGCGTAATATGAGGCCTGATGATCATTGTAATAATTGTGGGGTTACCTCGGAGAATCCGAGACCAGGAACCAGAATGAGGTCCAGCCCGTGGCCGGAGGAGAGAGGGTTCTCCCTCCCCTCATCAGAGGCAGGCTGAGGAATCCTCCAGGCAGTGAGGGGGAGAGAGGCCACATCCTCCAGGGAATGTACCTTCAACATCTCCATGACTGCTCCCTCGTAGCGAGGGACATAGCAGTCTCTGGGAGACCAATGAGGCTGCAGGCAAGTCTCATTGCTGGAGAATATTCACTCACTTGCCAGACTTCAGAGCATCCTTATAAAAATGTGAGTAATAATCGGTTTTCCACATTAGTTATAGTACGTATAAGATATATACCTCTAGAATGTGGTGAGTGTCGACTTCCGTGGGCATAGTGAGGTAGATGGACAGTCGCTGACTGCTCCTGTATTCCCCACTCGCCAGGACCTGCGAGGAACATTCTACAGTAGCAATGCACATCATATCCCGCACGCGTTTTACCCAGAGTTGCATTGTCTGATCGGTTATTTACCTTAGAGGTGAGAATGGAGGACTCTTCCTGCCGCTGTTGTTTAGTCATAGCCGCCAGAGCTCTCTTCAATTCCTGACGAAGCTGCTTTTTAGCTGCAGCGACTGCCATCTCTCCTCTCCTGCGCGCTATTTAGAGATCAGCCCCGCCCCTTGAATCCACGCACGTGCACTACTGAAAATGCGGTAAGTGTTCTTGCTGGTTTCGGTGGCGATCATTCTGTCGCTCTTGTTCGAACAGACTGACAGTGGACGGTCTCCCAGTCATTTTCCCCTACGACCACGTCTACCCCGAGCAGTATGCCTACATGCTGGAGCTCAAACGGACTCTTGACGCAAAGGTGAAAGGTCACCACGTGGGTGTGGTAAACAACCTGCCGTTCTCCTCGGCCGTCTCAGGGACATGGGGTTCTTGAGATGCCGTCAGGGACCGGGAAGACGGCGTCTCTCCTCTCCCTCATCGTGGCCTACCACCTGGTTCACAAACACGAGCTCCAGAAGCTCATCTACTGCTCCAGAACGGTGCAGGAGATCAATAAGGTCAGAGAGAGAGACACGGTATCGACTCACTCACTCCTCGTGCCCCGTCCTCAGGCAGTGGACGAGCTGAAGAAACTGCTGGAGGTGTACCAGAAGGAGGTTGGATATGTTCCTGAGATCCTTGCCCTAGCTCTCAGCGCTAGGAAAAACCTCTGCATTCATCCCGAGGTGACACAACTGTTACCCCTGCAACCCTCAACCCGCTTCCTCCCCTCCCTCCTCTAGGTGAGCAGGGAGGAGGAGGGGAAGTTGGTGGACAGCCAGTGCCACAAACTGACGGCCTCGTTTGTACGGGAGAGACGGTCAGAGGATTCCAGTGTCCCAGTCTGTCTCTTCTATGAGGTCTGTGTCTACTGACTGGTGGATTATTAGAGAGAGGGAAAGAGAAGGTCTGTTTTAATGACAGGGGTTTGACGAGAGAGGTCGCAAGCAGCCACTACCTCCAGGAGTCTACAACCTGGTACAGTTCTCCCATTCCTCATTCTCCCTCATCTTCCTCTCCCCTTCTCTCTCCTCAGAATGACCTGAAGAGTTTTGGCTCTGAGAAAGGATGGTGTCCTTACTTCCTCGCCAGATACGCCGTGAGCCACTTCCTCTTGTCTTTCTGTCTTCATCTTCTCTCCCCACCCATCTTCTCAGGTAGAGCATGCCAATGTGGTGGTGTTCAACTACTCTTACCTCCTGGACCCCAAGATCGCTGAGACTGTCTCCAAGACATTCCCAAAGAAATCGGTCGTCGTTTTCGACGAGGCTCACAACATTGGTAAGTGGGATATTCCTCGGTTGCGCAGTTGTATGATGGGACGGCCTGTTTTCAGACAATGTGTGTATTGAGGCGATGAGTGTCAATATTAGCCGTCGTACCCTGGATCGTTGTCATAGCAACCTCGACAGGCTGGCACAGAAAGTCAGAGAGTGAGTAGTCTGGAGGTGTAAGATGATGATGATGTCATCATGATGTCACCATAAATGAACAGGGCAGGGGAGGAGAAACTAAGAGAAGAGTACCAGAGACTAGTGGAACGTAAGAGAGAGAGAGCAGGCATTGTGCGACAGCTGTCACTCTATCTCTCCTCCCAGATCTGAGGCAGACCAGAGCCAACAGAGAGACTGATGTTCAGATGGCCAACCCCGGTACGTTCCCAGTATGGTGGTGCCCTCTTACTTTCCTTCCTCTTCCCCCCCGTGTCCTGCAGTTCTGCCTGATGATATACTACAAGGTATTTAGAGTTCAGTAGATGCACTCTGCACCTTGGCATGTCACCGGTTGCATTATTATGTTGAACAGAGGTATATTGTTCTTGTCAGAGGCAATGCCAGGCAACATCAGAAAGGCTGAGTTCTTTATCAATTTCATGAGGAGATTCAACGAGTATCTTAAGGTCAGAGTTCACCCTGTTGATCTTTCTCGCTGGCCACACCCCCTCGTCCCCGTGGCAGATGCGACTGCGGGTCCAGCACGTGGTGTCAGAGACTCCGACCTACTTCCTCCAGCACATTCATCAGACCATCTGCGTGGACAGGAAACCACTCAGGCAAGCCACACCCTCTGCCACACCCACTACCTTCACTTTTCCATGTTTGCAAGAGCCACACTTTCTACACTGTGATATTTGTTCAAAAATGCTGAATTTTGAAGAACAAGAGAGAAAGTAATTATTTCTCTCCCACTGCCTGGCCAGGTTCTGTGCGGAGAGACTCCACTCCCTACTCTGGTCCCTGGAGCTGGTGGACATGGGCGACTTCTCTCCCCTCAGATTGGTCGCCAACTTCGCAACACTCGTTGCCACTTACACCAAAGGTCAGTCAGGGTGGGGCTTGTGTCACGTGACTGTCATGTGACCTGTGTGTAGGGTTCAGTATGATCATAGAGCCATTTCAGGACCGTGCACCAACCATCTTCAACCCCGTCCTCCACTTCAGGTGAGGGAGTATATACCATTATAACAGGCTCAGCTCTCTTACCTTTCTCTCTCTCTCTCTCTCTCTCTCTCTCCTAATGACAGCTGCATGGATCCTACCCTAGCCAGTGAACCTGTGTTCTCCCGCTTCCAGTCTGTCATTCTCACCTCAGGGGTGAGTTAGCCACACCCACACCACACCCCCACATCCCCCTCTCTCTCTCAGACGCTGTCTCCAATTGACATCTACTGCAAGCTACTAAACTTCCATCCAGTGACAGTCGGCCATTTCACCATCACTCTCGCCAGGCCTCGCGTCTGCCCACTGGTTAGTTTCTCCTCTCTCTCTCTCTTCATTCTGTGCCTACCACGTGGCAACAACTGTTGAATATTCAAATCCTGATTGCATACTAGTGCACACATTGAGTGCCAAATGGACCAAAGTCACTAATTGCATGCCAGCCAAAGTCTAATTTCAGTTGTCAGTATGTGTGACTGTATGTATGTATGTATGTACTACTGCAGGTAGTGAGCAGAGGGAACGACCAAGTGGCCATCACATCCAAGTTTGAAGCCAGAGCTGACACTGGTATGTCTGTCTGTGTTTACGTTACGTGTGTGTGCATGTGGTTTAATCTGCATGTTTTGCAGCTGTCGTCCGTAACTATGGGAACCTGCTGGCGAGCATGTGTGGGGTTGTCCCTGACGGAATTGCCTGCTTCTTCCCCAGCTATGAGTACATGGTACGTCACCAGCTGCCAGTGATAATCTCGAGACCCTCTCTCTCCTCTCCTCTCTCTCTGCCCCAGGACTCAGTGGTGTCGTCCTGGGTGGAGCAGGGAATAATGAGTGTGATTCAGAGACATAAGCTGGTGTTTCTCGAGACGAGGGACAGCGGGGAGATCTCCCTGGCTCTCAGGAACTACTTCTCCGCCTGCGACAATGGGAGGGGAGCATTGCTACTGGCCATTGCCCGTGGGAAGGTTTCTGAGGGAGTGGACTTCAGTGAGTTCTCAACTTACCTCCTCTCTTCTTAATCCCCCTCACCTTCCTCTCTTCCTCTCTTCTCAATTTACCTGTTCCCGACACTCCCCCTCCTCCCCCAGTGCACCACTACGGCAGGGCAGTGATAATGTGCGGTATTCCGTACGTCTACACTCAGAGCAGACTTCTCCGGGTATGTAGCTCTCTCTCTCATCTCCGGGTATGTAGCTCTCTCTCTCATCCCTCTCTCACTGTTACAATAGTATGTCCCATTATAGTGTGTCATATATTGCTGCAGGCAAGGCTGGAATATCTCAGAGACCAGTTTCAAATCAGAGAAAACGATTTCCTAACGTTCGATGCCATGAGACATGCAGCACAGGTATCAGTCCCTACTCCTGTAGCCAACACTATACTGGTGTGTGTGTGTGTGTGTCGGTGTTGTGAAGGCAATTTGCTGTACACTTCAAAAGCAGAACTTAGGCAGAAACCAAGATCAAAGAAACCAATATTGTATATAAGCCAAAGGAACACTGCATATTAAGGCTAGCCTAGAACACAATGCAATACATTATTGGTAGAACTGAAAATAGTACAATTCAGCGTAGGTTTTGTTATTTCGAAACTCCTGGTGGAATGCTGTGTCCTTGCTTTTTGAGAACCAGAGGCTGGAGACTAACAGGGGTATTACATTCCTCAGTCAGAGCTTGTACTCTCTTCTCCCCCCCCCCTTCTCTCTCTTCAAAAGGATTCCTTCACCTTATCAGGTCTCTGTGTGCAAACTGCCATTACTAAAGATACCTTCACTGACACTGCAGATCACACACTCCCAATGTCTCATCTACTGGGGCTCCCTTTGTGATGATCATTCTATAGTGTCATGTGATGATCATGTGACCTCCCCTGCAGTGTGTGGGGAGGGTTCTAAGAGGCAAGACAGACTATGGCATCATGATATTTGCTGATAAAGTAAGCTCCTCCTAATGCAGCCAGCAACATCCCCTGTTGCAGTACTCATCAATATGCAGTGTTAGCTGCCTAGCTGGTCAGTTTGGTATTGTGTGGGGAGATGTAATGGGGTGCTGCATGGGGCCTTTGTACCACTAAAGAGGTTGGCATTACCAAATTATGTCTTCACACACTCACACAAATGAGTAGAGATTTGGCCGACATGACAAGAAGACAAAGTTACCTCAATGGATACAGGTACACATACACTCCTTTAGTGTCTCCCATCACTCCCGTGTATATATATTATATAATGCTGCCGCCATTTGTCCTTATGTGCATTCCTATGGAGGGGTGTGAGGCGGGATTTAATATGACAAAGGGTGGAAGTAAAGAAATACAGGATGTACTAACATGGCAGGTGGTAGTGTAGGGACTTGTCCAGTGAGAGATGGTTATTAGAGACGTGCAGTTTTGTGAGCCAAATCAGGCATGGAGGACGGGTCACTCCCCCAGTGGCCCAGTGTGTGTCTCTGCCAGCTGTGAAAGGAGGGAGCGAGGTGTGTCGTGTGTCAGTGAAAGGAGAGAGGGAGGAGGGAGGGTGTCACAGGTTAGTGGGTGTGTGATAATGGAGGGATGGTTGCCAGCCTGGGTCGGCCAAGACCACTCAATACCGTGAGACACACAGGCTGTTCACATGAACACAGACCGGCTTTTTGAGACAAGTTATCTTGTTCAATTTGCGGTACAATCACCCTATTCAAATCATCGTCATGGCAATAGGCAGATGCTGGGCACCCATTTGAGGGCATAAGTTGGCAGCCAATAAAGTGAGTAGAATTATTCCTGGACCAGTTTGTCTGCGTGTCTGCCAGGGCTGGCTGCTGGGTTTGGTCGATTCCTGGTATATTCTCAGCTTCTCCCTTTGTCGAAACCCATGCCGTGTTTTTCACTGCAGGAGCACCTGAAAGACACTCTGTGCAGCCTCACAACTGAAGAGGCTGTTCAGGTATAGCCATGGGTCTGTGATACCATCACATGTCTCTGCATCTTACACCATGTGTATCTCCTCTCTCCCTCTCACCATGTAGATATGCAAGAAGTTTCTCCGGGAGATGGCTCAGCCTACAAGTCAGGTCAGACGCAGCGCCACATGAAATTGATATGAATTACTAATTATCCACTCCTAATGAGATAATCCCCTAGAGTATTACACCGAGATATTGAAACTGCTATGATTGTACTATTGCTGACCTGACAGGAATTTTGCTTTCGGTATGAAATTCCGCCACTCTGTCTCTCTCTCCACTCAGGAGGAACAAGTGGGCGTGTCCCTGCTGACTGCTGAACAAGTAGAGGAGAGGGAGAGAAAGAGACTCAGCGGGGAAAGCTGATGCGCATGCGCAGTTTCATCAATTTTGATACCACGTGCATATAAATGGAATCGAATGCCACTCTCTCATAAAAAGAGCGCGCGATTGGTGTTGTGGCTGGCCGGAGAAGCAGTAGACGTGTACATGGAGCGCTCTAGGAGCTACAGCGGGAACGTTCCGTCCAACGGGAGCGTCAAGATAGGCGGTCTGTGGAAACGGTCGCAGGGCCTTTCGCGGTTCACGCGACCCAACTACCGCCACCGCGTGTTCATTCTCACGGAGAACGCTCTCTCCTACTACAGCGGAACAGTGGACGTGAGTATGCATTTACTGTGCCGTAGAAGTGTGCGTTAGTGGACTGCATGCGAGATCCGAACTAGGAAAACTTGCGAGTATATACAATTCTGCAGTGAATTTCGTTCGTTCGTTTAGTCTGCGCTGTTGTTTCTCTGTAGCGAGTGGGTCAGCTGAAGGGACGAGTGGCTCTGGACGCGATCACTGCAGTCGAATTCGTGCAGGAGTCTGCGTTCAACCTTCCCCACACCTTCCAGGTCCGTCTCTCACACTCTCCCTCTCTGTATGAGTCTCCCTGTCTCAGCCCTAGCATTAGCTACTGTAGTAGCTGCTGTAAACGGTCTGTCATTCTCTTGTCCTTGTCTAGCTGTGTGTTGTACAAGTACATGGGGACAGTGTAGAGTGGTGTATGGTAACAGAGGTGAAGCATTGTGCAGATGATCTGGTGGATTGTCTGCAGGTGGCTGCCCAGAAAGGGAAACTGATAGTTTCTATTCAGGTCTCAATGCCTGTTGCTGTTTGTCGATTCCTAACAACCTCCAGCTAAAGTGTTTCCTTGTCTTGAGAGCTGGCTGCCGACCACTTTCCAGTAGTAAGCCCTGTGTGGCTCAGTTGGGCCATTTTTGGCAAGTCTTATCTGCCACTCCTGGTGTGCCAGTACACACAATGTCTCTACATGGCAGGCAATCAAAGTTCATCTCTTTCTCTTTGTCCTTAATGTGTGGGGGTTGCAGGGTCTCCAGGGAGGTAGTAAACAGGTTCTCATTGGGTATATACTAGGAAGTGTTTGTGTCAGCTGCGATGGATGGGAGGTGACATGCCAGTCAATCCTCCAGGGAGCATGATCTGAGGAAGAGGGAAGGGACACAGCCCACCTCCAGTGGGCTGTGTCCCCTCTCCTGTTAGCTGTATAGCATTCCACGAGCCTCTGGTCCGTTACAAGAATGCAGTCTTCACATTGTTGTGGTCTCCACGACAAGTGCAACCACTCAAACAACTTTCGGCAGTACGGAATTGCCTCTAGTTAATAGGCCCCCTTGTCCTGTATGTGGGTGTACCTGACACTAGGAACTCTTTGACTCAGCTGATAACAGCATTGTGGGTTTCTCTCCACTGCTCTTGTCCCTATAAGGTGGTGTATGTATAGGTATAGTGGAATGATCTCACTCCTTTGCTGTGTCTGATAGGGCAGCTCTTACAGGATGCTGTCATTTGTCCTCATTAGTATCATGTGAACTGAGGCAGCTAATGGCCTCTCTATCCTCCCTGGCAAACTGCACTCACACACAACCAGAATGGATCATTAGCCATTCCTCACTTTCCCAGATCGCTGGTCTCCCAATACACATTTCTAGCTGAGATAACTTGAGTGGCTAAGAAACCGCGAGAACTGCGACATTTGTCCCTCTTGAAATACTGCTGCTACTGTGGTGTGAGAAGGGAATGATTTAGGGAATGATTTTGGGAGTGGCTGTTATTATATTGCATAGCGTTTGTTTATATCAACAAACAGATTGTTGTCCCTAATTGAATACTTTGGTGTAATTTTCCTCTCTCTTCTACCAGGTGGTTTACACGACCAAGAAGAGTGGGTTTGTCATCCTCTATGTCACATCCACTGACAGTATAGAGTGCTCCGATTGGATTGCCACTCTAAGACAGGGTGCGTATATACATGAACATTACACAACTGTTTGTGCAAGGTGCATTGTTCCCTTACTTTCCCAAAGTTAACAACAAGAACGAGTAAGTATTCCCATAGTAGGTCATGTGATGCTGTTATCTGTTCTAGTCTATCTATTCTGGGATCTATTGTTACAAATATAGTGTCAGAAGTCCCTTGTGTTGGTGGAATCAAAACACGCTCACACATTGTCTTTCTCCCTCCCTCGCAGTGTGTTACTTCAACAAGGAGATGATGATGCACTACCACCCGGGTGCCCTCCTCAGGAACTGCTGGTCCTGCTGCAAACAGACCGGGAAGACAAGTCTCGGCTGCCAGCCAACTTACCACCTCCTCACTCGCAGCTCCTCTCGTTACGCACAGATGAGGAGAAAAGACACACTCACCAGTAGTCAGGGGAGTCAGGGTCGAAGGTCAAAGAGCAGCAGTGTTCCCCGAGAGGAGAGAATGTCGCAGACTCCAGTTCCCGGTGCCAGGATGGAGGAGGAGGGAGGTGGGAGTGGCAGTGGGCGGGGTCTCAGTAACAGCTGTTTCGACCTCACCCGCAGACAAATTCAGAACAGTTTTCGAGCCAGTCTCTGCGTCTATGGAAGGTGGGTCTCGCTGCAGCAGTCAGCTGTCCACCGAGCCCTCGATCAGCATGGGCTGCATTACTCTCACCCGTCTCTCATTGTCCGAGTCTGCCACTCCCCTCGCTCCTCCCCTCCCCACACCCCCCACGGGGAAGACAGAGGTCGCGGGGAGGTCACCAGTCGTCGGTGCCGAGGGAAAAGTGGGTGGAGTCAAGAGAAACAGAGTCCAGATTGCTCCCGAGTATACTCCGACCATTCGGTCCAGACAGACATTTCCCTCGTCTGAGAGCCAGCCTCACCTTGCTCACCGTACCACCATACCTGTCCTTCCCGACCGCTTCTCTCACTCTGCCTCTCTACACTTTACCACTTCCTCTGGCCACACCCCCTCTCAGACCACACCCACCGGCCAAACGAGACCGGTCCTGGCAGCTGCATCCCCTGTGGCGTACCACTGCCTGACCGAACCGCGCCGAAGTCGACAAAAGATCCACCCCGGGCCACCTCCACCCAGCCAACTGAGCACCAGCATGAGTCACCTCTGGCCACAGAAACCAGTGCTGGAGCCAAAGGTGTCAGTTACAGACCCCAACACCATTCATGTATGATACTGTTTCCCTCACGTGAGCTGATTTGTGTGTCTATCATACCAACCCACCCACCGTCTTCCGTTTGCATCAGATTGTTATTCTCAAAATTTCGTGATCAATTCACACTAATTAAAATTGTTATGCAACACATGTGGTTCACATGTATGGAGCCTATTTGGATGGTCTGAGGTATCTCCGATAGAAGAAGTTACCAAAGAGCACCATGTAAGACCCGTACATTAGGACTCCGTACCACAGGACACTGTCGTGCGATTTGCAAGGCCCTCCGAGTGTCTTGACGCGATAAACAGTGCCCAGAACAGTCAGACCCATCACAAACTGGGCCAGCTGCAGCAGAGTTATGCTCTGGGCCACGCTCCGCGGTATCCGGACACCGAAAGCCTTCAGGACGTAGTAAGAGTACATGACGGAGTGGACAAATAGGTTGAGGGTTCCGAACCATTCCGCAGTGGGGTCTCGATGAGACACGCTATAGGTGCAGTAAACAAACACTGATATGTGGTGGTACCAATGGAGGAAATTGAGCGGCGTCTTTCGTAGGACTATGAAAATTGTGTCGCCGAATTCGACCGCTTTCGAGAGGATGAAGAGGAGGGCCCAGAGGTTGTGCGGTGGGTTGAGCATGAGGTGGTTGTTGCAGACCGAGTGAGTGAAGCCGTTCTCCAGGACCCCGGCCTGCAGATCAGGGTAGAACCGAAGGAACCCCATAATGCTGAAGACGGCCAACCCTGTGTTCCAGAGAGTCAGGGCCTTGCGCAAAGAGTAGGGTTTCCTGTCTTTCATCCAGCGACGACCGAGGAAGATGACGGCCAGGTAGACGGCATTGGCATACAGAGTGAGCGTCCAGTTGTCCCGCAGCCACCTCGACACCTTCTCATCGTCGAACCGGTGCTCCACTACGTCAATCTGGCTCAGTAACAGGTGTGCCATTGCTCTCTCTCCCCGTGCGCGGCGGATCGGATCGCGCACGATTTTCACCTCGTGCTCGAGCATGCGCGTCTTTTCTAAGCATGCGCATAATTACCCTGTCGTCTGTGATAAAGTTTTCTAGCTCTCGTGTCAAATTAACTACGAGGAATGTTGGATGATAGACTATTCTACCTTCTTCTTCAGATACCTCTGGTAGAAGAAGTTTAGAAAGAGTATGAAGTACGAGACGTATATGGCCAGACCAGCATAGAGAAGGTCATACGAAGCATCACAATCCACTCCACTGCTCTTCTGGAGGAAGGCAGTGAGGATTGTGACGACTCCAACAACAAACTGAGCCAGCTGGATGATGGTGATCAGCTGAGCCACCCAGCGAGGCACCCTCACCCCAGCAGCCTTCACAGTGTAGTAGGTGTACATGAGAGAGTGGACAAAGTAGTTGGTGGCCCCCATCCAGAATGTGATTGCAACCTCGCCAGATGTCCTAGAGAACCAGGCGCCGTAGGTGTAGACGGTGATGTGATGGTACCAGTGGAGAAAGTTCAGCGGCGTCTTCCTGAGGACGATGAATGCCGTGTCTCCGAGCTCTACGTTCTTGGAGAGAAGGAGTAAGAGATTCCAGAGCTGTCTGGGAGCCGACCTGCCGTGAAGCCCGTCGCTACAAACGCTGCTGCTGAAACCGTTCTCGACTAGGGTTTTTGCCAGAAAGGGGGAAACCGTCAGGAAACCGAGGATGCTAAACACTGCAAGTCCGGCGTTCCACATGACTAGCGGGCGGCGGAGATTGAAGGCAGGCCGGCTAGACATCCATCTCCTACCCACGAACGTCAGGATCAGGTACACGACACTCACGGCGATACTGGTGTACCCGTAGCTCGCCAGCCATGGTTGCGCCCCCTGCAAGTCGAAGCGACTCTCTACGGGCGCCAGGAAGGGAACCACGGACATCTCCTCGTGCTAGCTGATAGTTGGTATTATGTGAGGAGTCCATGCAGCTGTCAATCTCAGCAGCAGCCTTGGCGCCTCATCCTTTCGGAAAAAAGAACGAGCGATATATTATATAATGGGTGTACGTACAATGGGACCGGCGGCGGCGCGGCGGGGGGGAATGATGAGCGCATGCGCCTCAAGTCTCGTTGCTCGTCGTGCTCGGCCGGCCTCATCCTTATGTCATAGCAGTTTCAATAAAATAGTGTTCATCTACAGGCTAATTTTCAGCTAATGAGAATTGGGTGTAGTTGTGCCTTTGCTTGCATTGAGACCACATTTTTATGCTCCTCTAGCTATAAATACATTGTAGAATAGAACTAAAATTCTGGGATGTGCATTATTTACAATATATACTACTTCTTTGCGCAATAGCGCTGATAAAAAAAGTTTGCGAAGAGCACAAAGTAGGAGCCGTACATGGCAAGTCCAATGTAGAAAGCAGGCTCAGTTATCCCACATGGCTCCCCTGATATCTGCAGGCGGAAGGCGAACAGATTTGCCAGAATACCCACTACAAATTGAGAGAGCTGAAGACATGTCACTAGTTGCATGATCTTGTGCGATAGCTTATAGCCACAAGCTCGCACAACGTAATAGGTGTACATGACTGAGTGGACAAAGAAATTGAGGAGAATAAACCAGTTGGCGACGCCGGGCCTCATACTGTAGAAACTCCAACTGTACATCATTACAGTGATGTGGTGGTACCAGTGGAGAAAGTTTAGCGGCGTCTTCCTGAGGACGATGAATGCAGTGTCTCCGAGCTCTACCATCTTGAAGACAACGAAGAGGAACGACCAGAGGTTGCGATGGTGAGAGGTTGTCCCGGACACGATCCTATGGCACACCGAGTAGGCGAGACCTTCTTCCAGCAGCGCCGAGACCATGGGAGGGAGCAGCGTAAGAGTGCCAAGCGTGCTGAAAGCAGCGAGTGAAGCGTTCCACATCACGAGCGGCTTGCGTAGCGACCAGGCGAGTTTGTCGTGCATCCAGTGTCTTCCTGCATGGACCAGGACGACGTAGATGACGCTGGCGTACACGGAGAGCAACCAGTGGTCGTCCATCCATTTCACCGCGTTCTCCTCTGCGAAACGTTTCTCGATAGGCTCCAACCACGACACGGTCGACATGGTGATGATGATAGATATAGAGAGACAGTCAATATATTTATACTTAGCTACACGTGCTGCGCAAAGATCAGTCGCCAGTTTTACATTTTTGGGATGGATGGTCTGATATGCAACCACCATGAATATCGAATTGTATTAGAGAGGTGGGTGGAGCTCCAAGCCACTGCGTGCGCAGCCGGTAGAGAGTGGTCAGTGCATTTATGTGTGTACGTCATGCGCAGCTTTTTATACGCATGCGCAGTTTGCATTGACGGCGCGGTACGTGTGTGCACGTACGCGTACGTGACGGCGAATTTCGCTTGGAAACTCATTGCCATAAACCTCTCCGAAATGTTCTGCTGTTGCCTCAGTGTTCCTGTTTTTCTCGTCATTACAGCGATACACTCTGGTAAGAATCATAGTGGTTCCAACCTAGCAAGCTGCATAGCTAGCAAAGTAGCTATACGTAGCCAGGAAGATGCAGTGCACAATTTGCAGGAGGAGCAAGATTCGCAGAGAGTCCGAGGGACCAGGAGCCAGTGGAGGGGAGCTCTTTTTCCGTCACGTGCTCGGCCGTCGGAGCTCTGTTCCTGGTGTGGTACAAGGAGGGCAGCATCATCCCCGGCAGCAGTCAGGACTACAACCAGAGCAGTGTAGCTGTTGGCAGCACCACACTGAGTGTGTCTGCAGCCATCCACTCGGTTCACACGGGGAACTACGAATGTTTGGTCTTTTTCCCCGACACCAGCATGGACAGTGCACCTTTCAGCGTCAATGTCAAATGTAAGACTGAAATAATTTATGATCCCTCGATTTAGTGATTACTCAACAATGCAAATACTTCCACCTACGTTTTGGCACAATTATTTTTGATTAAAATATTATCTAGATATCGATTCGGTCATTGGCATCCGATTAGCAGTCTCAGGTTCCAACTGCTCAGTTGCTGGGGGGATTGACGTACCTGCTGGCTGTCAACTGAGTTTCCACTGCAACCCTCCTGACGGGTATCCAAACACCACACTGGTGTGGTACAGAAATGGTGACATCTTGCAACGGACAAAGAGAGTGGAAATTTCAGAAGATGATAGAGGTTTAACGATCGGGGATGCTTTGTTTGAAGACTCTGGCAGCTACCAGTGCAGAGCAAGCAACGGCATTGGAATTACTAGACACTCGCAAACACTCACTGTCTTGGTCAGAGGTTAGTGGACTCATTCTCTCTCGGTACTTACTGTAAGATGTGTTGCATTTGGTGTTGCTATTCAGGTGCAGGTCGTGGATTGAGGTTTCTGGAGAGAGAGAACATGTCTTCTTGTGAGGCTGGGTCTGCAGCGAGTGTGGCTGAGGGAGGAATACTCCAACTGAGCTGCTGCATAGTGGATGCTGTGGGAATTGTGGAGTTTCAGTGGCTTTTGGCGGGGAGAACAAAGCTGGTGGAGGGAGGCAGACTAAGCATAATCTCCACAGGCAACAGCTCAACTCTGCAGGTTCTTGGAGCAGCTGTGGAGGATGAAGGAGTGTACTGCTGTATTGCCAGTGATCACCTCAGCACCATCAAAAGGAACGTCTCTGTGAGCGTAATGGGTGAGCTCCAAAGCAACAAACGTGTGCCACTGCGACAGCTAGACACACTCTGTGAGGAGTTAATTGGAGCAAATAAGAGCCGCCTATTTCTTGTATAAGTGTATCTGTTCTCACTCTAATTCCATTCAGAGTGAAATACAATACCTTTCCTGTCTGTGATGGGCATTGTTTGCTCTGCATAGATGTCAGTATTTGGATGACTCTGAGGATATTGCTTCTTATCATACATGCCACTCCCTCTCCCCACCCTTCTTCCCTAACATCTCCATATAGTCCACAGAGCGATAGTGGAGTGGCCTCCACCAGAGGTCCAGGGGAGAGAAGGAGACAGAGCTCAGTTTGACTGCATTGCCTCAGGCCGACCCGTCCCAGTTGTCATCTGGTTATTCCAGTCAACTCCTGTTCCCACATCCCCAGCTGGCACGGGGCTCTGTGATATGGGGAATGGATCTCTCCTCATTCCAGTCCTCCAGCAACGGCACTCAGGGACCTACCTCTGCATGCTGAAAGACCCACCACTCGACATTCGCAGCTTCTCCCTCACAGTGGAAGTGGGGCTTTCTCCCTCCACCTCCTGGGCCTCTTCCTCTACTCCAGCAGTGGCTCTGCCTCACAATTCATCTCATTCCAATGACTTCACCATTGGTGAGTTCAGTCGAGATAATGTTTACGTCATCGGTATGAGGAGTGACAGTGGTGCTTCCCTGCATAGTCATATTATAATTGATCATATTTCCCTCTGTTGGCATTCTTCCTGTCCCTGGCCTCCAGGTCCATTCAGTGAAGTAGTCTCCATTGTTGTGGTGAGTCTGTGTGGACTGGGCCTTCTCCTGCCGGTCTCGGCTCTCCTCCTCTCCCTCTGCTGCTACTGCTGGAGGAGACACTCTAGGAAGAAGGCGGTGAGAGAGACGAGCGTGTCTCGGGAGAGAGTCCAGTGCACCATCCCAGCCGAGAGCTATTTGTTTCCCAGTTATGGTGGGAACGATGAGGGGGGTGTAGAGGGTGCGTGTGGGAATGGTGTGGCGAGACATCGTGAAAGGAGGTTGCCCCTGCCGCCAGAGCCCGAGATTGGCATCGGAGGTGAGAGTTACTATGAGGAGCTAGATGAGGTTGACGTCACCAGTGGAGTGACTCTGCCACGCCTCCCCACGTTTTCCAGTGAAACATCTGAGGCTGGCGGGACGGAGCTGGAGACTGTCATATCTGCTGCAACTGACACTCAACTTGTCACTTCATGATCGACAAAGATCAATCACTCAATGGTCATGAATGACTGTATCATAACACACCCCACTGCTGTAATCATTGATGTGATTTGTGTGATTTCCTGTCGCAACGGAAATGGTCGCAATACTTGCCCATGCGTTTTGCGGTCCATCGATGAGTTGTTCCTCGCTTTTCCTACTATAATACTACCGGCTGGTTGTAGGGGCATCACAGTGCAGGGCGATGCTGACTTTTCTACCTCTCCACCCTTCTCTCTGTATTCTCCTCCTCGTCTCTGCTGTCTTTAGAACTGGTACGTCGCTCCATTCGCACAGCGCCTCAACCGAGGCTCATGATCATCATCCCTTCTCTTTCTCTAGCTCAGCCTGTGCGGCCGAACAGCACCCACGTCGTCGTGGAAGGCGACCCGTTGACGGTTCCTTGCGATTCATCAGACTCCACAGTCGAGGCCTACGATTGGAGTAAAGATGGGAGTCCTATAACCAGCGGTACAATCCCCGGCCTGACTATCAGCGGGGGCTCCATCACCATCTCCCGTGCCAACCACACACTGCACAATGGGAGCTATAGCTGTGCTATCAACGGCAGTGACGACCTTGATGACGAGTTCAGTGTCTTTGTGTACTGTAAGTTAGTCTCTCTCTTTCTCACACACACACATGCGTGCACCGCACTCTCGTTCTTACTCTCTCGCTCCCCTCTGCCTCCCCCCTCCCCTCTGCCTCTCTGCCATGAGTCTTTGGTAGAATTAGCACCATCTAGTGAGGAGGTGCCAACGATGCAATGTGTGAGTGTAGTTAAGCCAGTTTCCGCAGGGGTGGGAATTCAGGGCTGAATACTGGCGGCATTGGACCCACAACCCCACTACATGGTCGAGTCATGTCTGCTGAGCCAACACTCAATGTCTGGAACCTCTGTCTGGTGTACTAACCACTGGTGTACACTGATTTATACATACATATGTAATATGCGCAGTAATGCCATTTTGTTCTTGGACATCATCACCTAAACACTAGCAGCTGCCAATTTCCCTCCCTCCAGATATCAGGTCAGAGGTCAACGCAATGTTTCCTTTGCATCGGACCTACCAGGAGTGTGCCCCTGACGTTCAAACAGCCTACATTGGAGCCAGCCTCACCCTAGACTGCCTGGCCCCTGACGGTTACCCTCCAGTTGACATCCATTGGTTCCTATTCCAAACAGAGCTCACCTCTGCCACCTCTGAGGTTGAGATAACCGAAGGAGGGAGGCGTCTTATCAGGGAGCCTCTGAGCACGCTCAATTCGGCGGGGCTCTACAGGTGCGAGGCCAGTAATGGAGCAGGGATTCGGCGTTCAGAGGATCTAGTCATCACAGTTACTGGTGAGTCTGGAGAGATGGTGAGAGGGGAGAGAAGGTACAGACTGAGGAGACAGTGGGGAATCTATTTAGAGCCGGCTATGCAAAGAAGCCATATCCATGGGGTGTGTGTGTGTGTGTGTGTATAGGAGAGGGTGGGGGTAGTTTACTAGAGGAGATCAAAGACCAGGCTTTGGACAGACACACTCTATAATGGTGCACATTTCACAAGATCTCTTTGATGTCCGGTATGTGTGTATGTATATATATTACTGCCTGTGGTATATACTGGGACTCAGGAATGGAAAATGGTGCCGCATGTCTCAATATTCACCAAGAACCACACAAACTCTCTTCTTCCTCTTCCCCCTCCTCCTTTCTAGAGTACGGGTCGGAGACCCCAGAGATATCAATATTGGATTCAGAGACAGCACTGGTGGTGGGGTTGGGGCAGCGTGCTGACCTCATGTGCCGGATCTTCCCTCCCGTGGATGTAAACGTAAGTCTCTCTCTCTCTCTCTCTTGTCTGCCCCCTTCCCTGGCTGCTAACTCGAGTCTTGGTGTGTTCCAGGACGTTGTATGGCAGCTTGACACTAATGTCATTAGCAGTTCCGACGGTCGAAGAAGAACTGTCCAGCGAAGTCACCCGGAGCTGACGTGTATCGCCACCCTCCACGTGGACAACACCACTGCACAGGACGAGGGGACCTATGAATGTCATGCAGAGGGCTCCACTGGTGACCAACATGCCCAGAGACTCTTGCTTCTTGCTGGTGAGCTCACACACCACTTTCGAACAACTTCTCGAACTTTGATTTGTTTATGATCTGTTTTCCCTATCTCATCTCTACCACTGTTACACCTCGTCTCTGTATCCAGTGTTGGAGGGGCCCCTAGTGATTGAGGCCACACCCACAAAACTCCTGGCAGCTGGGCGGAGCCTGACACTCACCTGCCGACTCAGTGATGCTGCAGACCCGACCAACAACAATGTCTCCCCGGACGTCTTCCAATACCGGTGGACCCACAATGGGTCATCTGGGAGTGTGGGGGAAGAGAGGGAGCTGGTCATCTCACCAGTGGGTGTGAGTGACTCGGGGACCTACCTGTGCTCTGTCAACAGTTCTTCTGTTCCTACCGCCATTTCTGCCTCCGTCGACGTGACTGTGGAAGGTGAGGTTTCACTGGAAGAATTGGTTTAGTCTCTCTTTTATTCTCCCTTCAATGAGAAAATTAACGGTTGTTACTTCATTTAAGAATCTCAAATGTAACCAAGCCGCTGCAGGAGTTTAACCCTGTCTCCTCTCTCTCTCTCTCTCTCTCTCTGTACATAGTACCTCCGAGAGTGACCATCTCTCTGCTGGGCTCCGACTCTGTGTTTGACAGAGTCGACGGGACCACAATATTTGTTCAACTCGGGGCTCGAGTCACTTTCCAGTGTAAGATCACCTCCACAAGACCCACCAACTTCACCTGGTTCAGGAAGGTCAGCCAAACTAGCTATGATCTTTACCATATATTATATAGTCTGTAGTGGAGTTAAGAATATCTCACAGGCTGGCTGGTGAAAATAAAGAACAAACTGCTTGTCTCTACAATAAAGTCACTAATGCCTTGGCAAGGAAGGACTCTTTAAACTACTAGAGATAATTTTGACATTGAATACAGGGTTTAGTGCATGAATTTCCAACTTTGAACGTTGTATATTTCCATTCTATCTTCCCGTTGCAGGTGGATGGTGTTGATGAGGTGTTCTCCACATCTTCGTCCGTCTCCCTCTCCTCCACCCTCACCCTCTCACACCTCACTCCCTCACTACTCACCTCCTACAGCTGCCACGCCTCCAACCTCGTCCATGACAACGTCGTTAGCGAGGAGCGCACCCTCAGGGAGACGGAGGTGCCGTATGTCAGGGGCGCAGCCGCCGGGATTAAAGGGGTGGACTTTCGCAACGGGACTACCCTAGAGCTGGTGTGCGAGGCTCGAGGAGAGTCAGTGGAAAGATTAGTGTGGCGAAGGGGTGACGAGCAACTGACCAATCAGACGACAGCTGCAGGGTCGTCTTTGACGATCACAACCAACGGCAACAATTCAACGTTGATGATCGTTGGAGTCACTACGAAGGAGACTGGACTGATTGAGTGTGCTCTAACTGGAACGGAGTCGAAACTGGTCTACAATGTCACCATCACAGTACAGGCCCAGATTGAGTACACCTCTAGACCCTTAGTTACCGTGGCGATCGGTGACGAGGTTCGATTTGACTGTATTGCGTCCGGTATTCCTCCGCCCACCATCAAATGGCTGTTTGACGTGAGTAAACTCTACCACTGTCGATCTGTGTTTCTCTTTTCCAAGGAGAAAACTAAATTGCACGGACGTGTTGCAGTGGTTGTAGCATTTCTCTCTCTCTCCGTCTCAGACGCAGCCAGTGGAGGAGGTTGAGGACCTGGAGGACCTGGGTAACGGGTCTCTGAGGATCTCCTCCGTCACCAGGGACCACCAGGGGTCCTACCACTGTTTCCTGGCCCTGGAGAACGGGCAGCTGTCCCAGGAGTTCACTCTGACTGTGGAGGACGGGGCTGAGGAGGACAACCTCCTCTGTGGAGGAGGTATGTACCGTCCCCTTCATTCCTTCCTCAAAGTTCTCTCTCTCTCTCTCTCCCCCTCCTCTGTCAGAGTTCACACGAGGGGACTGTGTCACTCTGCTCTCCGGAGGCTCCGTGGCGGTCTTCCTCCTCCTCCTCACCCTCCTCGTCCTCCTCTTCTGTTTCTACATCCTCTGTAGACGCTGGGCACGGGGGGCCTACGAATACCCTCGAGAGTTGGAAATGAAGAGAGCTTTTTCAAGTAGAGCCTCCAGTCACAAGGATGGCGGGGCGGCCCCTGTGTTTGACGATGTTAACGGCTTCGCAGAGCCCCAGGGATTCAGGAACGGGCTCTACCCAGTTCACCCTCCGCTGGCTACTTTTGACAGGGCGGCTGCAGTGTCTGAGCTCCAGCGATCGGTGACCCCCCCGGCCCCCTCCCCCGTTCTCCAGACCCCCGGGACCGGGGGGACCGACAGCATGTTTAGCAGCGACGACCAGAGCTCGCTCACTGCCACTCTGCCCAACTACCCTCGCGCCAAACTCACAGTGAGTCAAGACAGAGAGAAATGGGAGGGGGGATGATTGCCTGTCAGCCTCTCAGGTGGCTTATTATGAGAAACCACGCAGAACGGTGCACATGAGCGATGCTAAGTTATGCAGAATGTCAGTTTTGCAGAATATGTTACACAATCTGTCTAAATTAGCAATCCTAAAGCAAAAGTGATCATTATTAATTAACTCTTCTTGCACTGTGTGGTTCGGCATTAACTCTTCCTCCACTGGCTGAGCGGATCATTAACTCTTTACTCACTGCAGTTGGGAGCAGATCTAGGTGAGGGAGAGTTCGGGCCCGTGGTTCTGGGGGTGGCCAGAAACATCGTCTCTCACGAGGAAACAACTCAGGTGAGACCACACCCCCTTGGAGGTGTGACTAGTAGTGTGTCTCCATTCCATTCTGCAGGTGGTGGTGAAGGTGTTGGTACGGAGTGGGGACGGAGAGGACCAGTTCCAGCCCGACCTGGCACTTGTGGACTTTGCCAACCAAATGAGGATTGACTACGAACACATCGCCTGCATCCTTGGCCTGTGTACCGACACTGAGCCCTATTACGTCATATACGAATACCTGGACCAGGTGGGCGGAGCTTACCTTTTACTATTGGTGGGCGGAGCTTACCTACATACGGCAGATGATTTAGTCATTCAAGGTTGAATGGAAAATCTTGTCACCAATCCAGGACAAAAGCTAGTTTGAAGAATTGTGACTGTTAATGTTTAGCACATGTTCCTTGTTTTGGGGATGTATCAACATGCTAATATGACATTATTCTCCGTGTCCCCTCTGCCCAGGGTGATCTGAAGAAGTACCTGCTGGCGAACCGCCCGGTGGCGGGCAGACCGACTCCTCTCTCTCCCACCACACTGTCTCGACTGGTGCTCCAGGTAGCAGACGGAATGGCGTTCCTCTTCTCACAGAGGATCATCCACGGAGACCTGGCCACTCGCAACTGCCTCGTATCTTCCGACAACCACGTCAAGATCGCAGACCTCGGCATAGGTCACGACCTCTACCAAACTGATTACTATGACAACGGGTCGCAGCTCCTCCCCATTCGCTGGATGCCGCCCGAGCTCCTGGTTGCCACAGACGACGGGCCCGCCTTCTCGCTCCACAGCGACATCTGGAGTTTCGGGGTCTTGTGTTGGGAGGTATTCTCGTTTGGGGAACTCCCGTTTGAGGGCGTGGCTGACGAGGAGGTTCTGGTGAGGGTTCCGCAGGGGCTCACGTTGCCCCTCCCACCCTCGGACAGCTGCCCTGGTCACATGACGCGAGCCATGGTTCAGTGCTGGCAGAGGGATCCAGAGGCCCGGCCCAGGTTCTCTGCACTCTGCATGGAGATGAATGTCATATCCGGAGATTAGTCCACCCACATCACGTGACTGGTCATGTGATCACTGCACACTGTGTATGTATTGAACTGTCATTTCTCACATCATTTCTCACTTTTTTACCGCATTCGATCCCCAGCAACCAATCGTATTTATTAACACCAAAATTTGTTTTTATGTAATCTGCAAATGTGGCACATTGTGAATTTCATGCTGTTTTGTTTGTAAAAAAGTTATAAATTAAACGAGAATTATAGTTTCTGGACATAATGTGATCTAGTCCCTTGTCCCTAGTTCGGCCAGCTGGAGAGGAGAGAGATGTGAGATGAGGCACAGCAAGAAAGAAGGGAAGGGAAGGATTTAGGGAGGGAGTCACTCACCTGGTCCAGGAATTGCCTGGCGTTCATCAGTTGACTAGTGCCGTATGTGACGTGTCTGCCGGTCTGCTGTCGACTGCAGTAGTCCTGCAAGTTCTGATACTCAATGTAGTTACCACCTCCTACCACAAACACAAAGGCCTGCAGGCAGGGGGAGGGGGTGGGGGACCAAACAGTACCACACTCTTCAGGGGGAAAAGGTGGGGGACCAATCTAACCTCAGTGAACGGTGTCTTGGATTGAGGGGCGGGGCGACTGTCTGTGGGACGCAGCTGCTTGGGGTCAAAGTAACAGTAGTCCTCCGTCACTTGCTGTTGGGTCAGAGTTCAAGGGGGTGTGGTTGGTGGGTGTGGCTAACTCACCCCTGTCGTCCTATGCTCCATCAGCTGGTCTACAATCCTAGTCACTGGCAGGTTCTGTGGGGGGCGGGGTTAATTATTGAGGGAGGGGCTCAATTTCCCCCTACCTTGGTCCCCACCACTAGATTTTTGACCCCCTCCATCCACTTTGAGCCAGAGTTCATCCAATTGGACATGGTTGACACCACGGAACTGGCGGAAGAAAAACATCTTCTCTAACACCACAATTCTCGTATTATTACTGTCGGCACCATTCTAAATGTATCACCCCTCCCCACCTGCTTGCTAAGTACGAAAAATTTAAGCATGGCAATCGTATTTGTACTCTGATTATTTGTACTCAGATTTGAGTATTGTACTCGGCACTCGGCTTATATAGCACTGCTTGGGATTACATCACTTTTGGTCAGGAGATGCTAGTGACGTCACACCTGACGGAGGTGGTGGAGGCAGTGTAGCTGCCCAGTGGCCGGGGAGCCTTCATCTTTGACAGTGATCTAATGGAGAAGGAAAGAATGAGGAAAGAATGAGGAGAGAGAGAAAGAAGTTCTCACTTCCAGTGTCCGAGGTAGGTGAGTGGCGCTGTGTTTGCTCCCACTGCCTCCAGTGCCGATGTATACTGTACAACATCTGCCTGCACAGGACAGACACCGACAGAGGTCAACGATAAGTCCAGTGAATGTTACTATTCCACACTCAGTAAAGTCAACCACTAACCTCGGCAATGTCAGGTGAGAGGATGTAGTAGATGATGAACAGTCTCATTTTGTCCTCTGGGGTTCCGGCTGGCGAGGAAGAGGAGAGGAAGAGGAAGACGAGGGGGGAGGGGGGAGGGGCAGACTAACCTGCAGTGTCAGAGATCATGTCCAGCACTGTCTTGTCCAGTGAGGACTTGGAAATCATCCGGTCTTCCATTTCAAAAAACACATCCAGCTTCCTTTCCTTTGGTGTCGATAGGTCAGAGGAATTGGTATATACGATTGAGGAGAAAGATGTATAGTGAGGGAGGGAGGGAGGGAGAGCACACCTTGATTTGCTCCAGAAGGGCAGTGGCGATGTTGGTGTGCATGTCAATACTCTTTTTCTTCTCCATCAGTTCAGGCAGCGATCTGCGACGGGCAGGAAGGACGAAGGCGTTAGATAGGGCCGGGAGGATAAGTGCGCCTGGCTCACTTGATGGCAGACCCCAGTTTCGAGGTCTTGTCTGTGAGTAGGTCAGAATCCTCTGACTCGTCATCATCCACACCCTGTGCATACAACACCAGTGAGAGAGATACTACCACTGTTAGTGAGTGTGTCTCTTCTGACCATCGCTGACTTGAGACTCTTCATCTCTTCCTCCGATGTCTTGTAGCGGTCAACCTCCGCTTGAACTGCATCCGCCATTGCTGGGAATGGACTGAGGGGGAGACAAGGCAAGAGTAGAGGACAATATAGCCCTCACTCTATGAACTGTATCATGTAGAGTAACTCACCTGCCGCGGTGCTGCTCCCAAAACCTATCCGAATGCAAGAGGTCATAGGTTCGTTGCTGTGGCGATGAGGTAGGGGAGGGAGGAGGTTCATCATCTGCCGTCAACAGCGTAACTCTGTTTAGGTCCAAGTTCTGCGAGGAGAGGTCAACGTTCATGGGGTCAGAGGTCACACGACTAACCAGCATGTCGTGGACTAGGGCCTGGTAGGTCCAGGTATGGTGGAGGGGTGTGGCCAGGTCCACATTCCGATCAAGAATGACCAGCAGAGGACGACTGAAGCTGGGGAGAGCTTAGTTTACTGAAAGTATACTGACTGGTCATAGGAGTATACTAACTGGCAGTAGTACACAGGAGTTTACTGAGAGTATACTGAGAGTATACTGAGGGTATACCTGAGCTGAGCAATGGCGGTGGAGTCTCCAGTGAACATACTGTTGCGAGGATCTCTGACATTGTCTCGTAGCTTCTTATCCAGAGCCTGGGCCACCATTTCCGCTGCATTACCTCGAGGACATCGTATGATTGGCACTGTCCCTGCAGAGAGCAGGAAGAGAGAGAGAGTGTGTGTGTGTGAGAGAGAGATTGTAGAGAGGGATTTGTTTACCAGAGGTGACAAAGACTGAAAACAGACATTCCACGATCGAGTCGCAGATTCTCTGAATCTCTTCGTCTGATGCATCTGGTCTGTTCAGAGCTGCAGAAGATGGAGATGTCGGGGAACAGCAGAAAATAGCAAAAACAAGGTTCTAAAATTGTTTACCACAAGATGTATTCTCACCATAGTAGGATACTTCCCCCAGCATTTGGTTACGAAGAACAAAGAAGTCGTCTTCCAAAGATATAAAGTTTAAGTACTGATCATACACCTGAGATGGAGAGAGGGAAAGAGAGGAGACACGTTCCTCTACAAACTGTGTTTGCAAATCAAAATGCAAAGGTGTCCCGCAACACTGCCGGCATACCTTCCCAATCTGAGGGACGCAGTCAGCCTCCAGACTGGCTTTGGCCACCTCCTCCAGGAGAGGCCTGGGAATAGCAGTCACAAAGTTCAAGTAGTACTTGTCGTAGAGCTGGGCTCTGCAGTCCTGGCAGATCCTCGCCACGTTGGCCGCCGTGGGCATCAGGAAATACACCGCCACCGCGTCCGATATCTGCTCCCTCCCTGCGTCCACCTGCCTAGTTGATCAGGGTTAATACAATTATGTGCTGCCACCGTATATACATGTATAGGAATTATGAGAGGAAAAGATTTTGAGGCCAAAAATTGGTAGAAAATTGTGTAACTATGTGGAGAAATATTGGATCCCTCCCAAAAAGTTTTGATAAATGGTTCTCAAATTTGACAGACTTTCTCCATCAAGAAATGTGGTGGTACACTACACACACTCACAGGTGAAGGGTGACTCCAAGGTCGCGCAGCTCCCTCACTGAGAGCAGTGGAGAGATGATGTCAGAGCCAAACTTGTCGTAGATAAGGACCTTCCAGACTGGCTCGCTGGCCGCCACCGAGCCCCGCGGAGTGGGCTGGTTCAGGTTGAGCATTCTCTTCAGGGCGGCTGCAGAGAGAGAGGTCCGGTTATGGCGGATAAGCAGTTGGTTTCCAGGTAAAGTTGCGGCTCTCACCGATCTGCTTGTCCCTCAGAACGTTCTGGTACGAAGTAGGAGGACCTGAAGTCGCCATTACTGCACTACGAGCGAGCAAACATGCACACGTTTTAGCGTAATGCCGTCGCTAAGGGGTTAAGGAAGGCGTGTCTTGAGCGGCACTAAATAGAATACTGGAAGACGTCTTTCTCCTCTGGCGCAGATTTGGTGGGTGTGTGAAGGAATATGGCGCAACCCCCGCCCCTGGCAGAGGTGGCCATGTACTCTGAGTGCGCGTCTTTGACAGAGAGCCTCCAAGAGCGGAGCCCGCCGAGGATCGTTCTCAGCTCTTACCCTCCAGCCGTCGGTAGAGAGGTGGTCCGCAGCGTTCTTCCGCCGCTGAAGGGGTCCTCTCGGCTGTCTCCCGCTGGGAGAGAGACGGGGAGCGGGGAAGGCGAGGAGCAGAGTCCTCTGCAGACGAGGGAGGAGGTGGAGTGGACAATGGAGGTGCTGGGACACGGTCTCCAGCTCCCTCTCTCAGACCACGACCTCGTCTCCTCGTGCATCGCCGTCTACGAGGATTGGCTGAGTGCCTTCTCCCCCTCCCCCTCCTCCACCGTCCCTGCCCCTGTTGTTACAGACCCTAATCGCTACTGCCTGGTGATCCTGACTCATCTCTACCAACTGTTCACCCCGCGCGAGGCTGACAGTGGGTCCCAGCTGGAGCTACACCTACAGCTGTGTCAGAAGGTCCTCACCCTCACCAAGTCTCTGGTCATGACATCGGGGGAGAAGCTCTCCGAGCCCACATGTGAGGCTGTCTGTCGGCACCTCCTCTCGGTGGCAGACCTCCTCCTCTCGCCGCCCCTCGACCCCTTCTCCCTTCCCGCTCGACTATCTGGACAACTGACACACGTACTATTTGCTGCCTGGCTGCGTGCCTGCACAGCCTTCTTCCCCGAGCCCCACATGTGGAAGAGCCTGAGAGAGCTGTGTCTGCGCTGGCGTCACCACCTCTGTCTGGCCACCGAGTGGAGCTCCCTCATGTACTCCCTGACCCTCCGCGTCGTCTCTCTTCTCTATTCCCCCTCCTACCTCGCCCATCTCCAGGACAACCTTCACGAGGACTCAGAGTTCTCTGAAATCCTCCGCTCCATTCCCCCGGACTCCCTGGTCCAGGCCTGGTTCCGTCTCCTACACACTCTGGGGAACCCCGTGGACCTCTCCTCTCTCTCCTCTCTCCCTCTCTTCCAGAAGGTGGCAGGGGACCATCTCTCGGTGCCGCCAGCCCCCGATCTTCCTCACATATTCTACGAGGCTCTGCAGGGGGTTGCAAGACTCGTGTACCTGTTCCTTGGTCTGGAACCACGGCAGGAGGTGCCACGCCCACCATCCGAGGGTTCTGCGTCTTTCCCTCCCCTCTCTGCCCGGCCGTCTCCTCAAGGTCTGCGTCGGAAAGGCAGCAAAGAGTTCCGGGACAAGAGCAGTGTCTCTGGAAGTATTGGTCAGCTCTCACTCCTGGTGTTCCGTTACTCTTCTTCTGACTCCTTGCATGCAACTTTACACGTGATGTAATGATTCTCACAAATTGACTTTCTCTCCCTCCCTACCAGGTGGAGGTGGTGGGACCAAGAAGTCAACGATATGGTATGATGTCACTTCTCCCAGACTCCCGATAGTGCCTCAGTTAACTCCCCTCACCTCGCCTCTCTCCTCTGACGTCAAGAGACCAAGAGGTAATTACCATTGTCCACATACGTTAAGACCAAAATGTTTGGAAATAACTTTCAGAATATTTATCATCACCACCACTGCAGTGCTCCATTTATGCACTCTATTCTCCAGGCAACACTATTCTCCATCTGTTTGGTAGCTGGCTGTTTGAGGCAGTCACCAGACCAGTGCTGCACGGTGAGCAAGATGGGAGGGAGTGAGGGAGGGAGTAAGTACAAGTATCTGACAGCTGCAGGAGGCGAGAGAGGGAGACAGACTGACAGTGCCAGACCTGCAGTCTTCCGCAGTCTTGTGGACCTCAACGGAAGCACTGACTCCACCCTCACGCTGACCACACCCCCTGAAGACCACGCCCAGTTTGAGGCGGGGCGAGCCGAGGCAATCGGAGCTCTGTGTGCCATATTCTCCTCGCAGCCATGTGGGGAGCCTTTCCTCCCAGTCTACCTAGCCAGGTTCTACCGCTGTCTGCACCTTGGACTCAAGCATGATGAGGTTTGCCTCCTCTCCCAATAGGCCAGACTATATGAGTAGTGCATTCGCTGAATATCAGGGCTCTAGTATATAGCAGCTTGCCAATTCCTGCTCTAACTGATGATTCAGTTTTGCAGCTTACTCTACCTCACTATCTCTCTGTGCAGGCATCGCAGGGACTTGTGATGACTCGTATCCTTCTCAACTCGCCATCTCTGTTTCGTAAAGGTCTCCCTGGACTAAACCTTGTTCTCCCTTCCTTCCTGACTGCCCTGGAACTGGTCCTTCCTCACCCGGCACCGCTAGTCAGGTTACCCCCTAGCTCTGATCATGTGAGAGTCATGTGACAGTCATGTGGTTACAGGTGTTCTGTGGGTACTCAGGAGCTGAGACATGCGTCAATCCAGATTCTCCTATCGGTTTTCTCTCTCCCTCTCCACTTCCTTCAGCAGCCCTTACCTGGTGGGTTCCTCCGCATTCCAGCTGTGATTATAGGGTGATTGGGGGTGATACCCCGTGTTTTGTTGATGGGGAAGTCTAGATTAGTGAGGTATGCCTTGGAGTAGTGGAGTTCCTCTATGCAGCCATGTCAGTAGAGGATGAGGAGGAGGAGGAGGAGAGAGACAGCGTCACGTTTTACAGCCTGCGAGAGTGGACTCTCTGGTTGCTGTTCTCTGCCATCGAGCACGAGAGAGATGGCTCCAACTTGCAGCTGCTTCTGCACGGAGTGTTGGTCTGTCTCCAGGACACTGGTGAGGAATCACAAATGGCAACCGTACGATCGGAAATCTCTCCCCCACCCTCCTCCAGTGCTGTATGAGAACGTGACAACAAGACTGGCCGAGGAGGGAGTGGGGGAGGGAGAGAGTGGATCGGCCAGAACTGAATTCTTTTCCTCCGTTGTCAAAGGCGAGGCATCACTGAAGCTCAATCATGCCACTGTTCCTTCATCAGTCATTGTCCCCTCAGATTACGGGTCAGCCAGTCTGTTTCGCAGAGCCAGCAAGGCAGCTCACTGGTGCCTGCTCCAGTGGCAGAACAAGATACACATCTCTCTGTCGGCGCTGGAACTGCTGCAAGGACTGGCACAGCTACAGTTTGAGTACATAGGTCAGTACTGCACTCACTGTCTCAGCTGCACTGTGTCAGTTTGTGTGCATGAGTGAATTGACCTCCGTTTGACGTCTGACAGACCATGAAGACCTGAATATGGCGGTCATGTGGGTGTGTGAGTACATTCACCGTCGGGCGGAGAAAGACAAGATACTCCACTCGAAGGACCTGCACACCTCCATTGTGGCTGCCTTCTCCTGCCTCCTCTCCTGGGTCACCCTCCATCCTTACCTACTGGGAGACAAGGTCTGCGTTTCGCATGTGTTGATTCGTCGAAGAACTCACACATACAAGGAGGGGGGAGTTTCCCCTACTCTTCCCTTACATTCCCCTGACGCATGTACGGAAAATGGTGTGCCCTGCGCAGCTAGTGATGGCGTCTGGTTTGAGTGCCTGTTACAGATGTTTTGGTGCTTCTTTCTCCTTCCTTCCTAGTTCCCAACAGCCACACTGAAACCACATTTCATCTCTCTTCCTTCAGACCATTCTGGAGGCAGTGATGCAGGTGGTGGAACTAGGCATATCCGGAACCTTCTCTCAGGTATTCTGACTTCACACGCTCTTGCTATTCTTCTCTATTTTTCTCTAACTAGAGCCCCTCTGGATCAACTGTTTACAAAGGTCTGTGTGCATTTTCCCCCCTGTTGTTCTGGCTAGAATATTAACTGTTTGTTTTAGGAGAAAAGGAGTTGAAACCAATCTCTGGAAGAGTAAAAGAAATTGCCGAATTTGTCCTGACTGCCATAATGGAGCAAGTGGTAAAATTTGAACAAAAGTACAATTTTCAGCGCTACATTCCCGCCGGGTGTTGTGGCGTGCACCTGTAACCAGAGCTACTACTGGGGCAGAGTTCGGTGGATGGCTTGAGGTCGGGGTTCCTGAAGGTTGGCGCGCTATGCTGAGCGGACGCCCGCACTAAGTCCTGCGTCAACATGGGCGTATCTACGGAAGCAGTTGCGTCCAGGTTGTATAGTGAGAGTCGTACCGGCCCAGGGCGGAAACGCAGCAGGCAAAAGGCTCCGCGCTCGACGGTAGTGGGACTACGTCTGTGAATAGGCGTCATCCGTCAGCCCGGCCAACATAGTTAGACCCGAACTTTTTTTCGAACATCTTGGATCAGAATTAGTCCTTCTTTTGCTGGTTTAGGCAACGCAGTGCACGAGAGAGGACCATTCTATTTTTTTTACTACAATGAAATGTGAATGTAGCTCCCTGTTGTCGCAGGGAGCTTTTCCTTTGCCTTGTGGGGCGGAGTCAACGTCCAGTCTTCTGAATGAAGAGCATCTGCTGGCAAGACTACCTGTGACTGGCACCCAGGTATACATTGGCATGCTACACTTGGCTCATAGCTAATGCAAAATTAGATGGGTATGTTGGGGGGAGTACTTCCTAAATCTCAATCACTAATCCAGTCCCTATTGATGGAATCTTCTGTGTACAGTTTGCTTGTAAGCTAAGCTCTGCCAGTGCATTCCAAGAACAAGATGATCTCCCAAGGCCCAGATCAACCATGTCCCATGTTGATACAACAGAGACTAATGCAACATTTCCTAGTTACTTGTTACCAGGTTCCTAGTCCCATATGTTTGGAGAATGTTATGAAAAATTATTTAACTTCTCCAAATATCAAACACAACAAAAATGTTTAAACAACTTGTCAGTAATGACGAAACATAATTATTAGGATCAGCCCCAGGGATCTCCCCCTGCATGTCAATCATTGGGAAATAGTTGAGAGGTCATGTCATTGGTTCTCCTGTAGACCACAGCTGACTCTCAATTCCGTTACTTTCTCGTTGACAACTCAATTGTACTGGGTCTGCTGGAGGCTGAGTTCACTGCAGGTAACAGACACACTCTTTCTGGAGAATTCATGACAACGCACTCTTGTATCCTTAATTAATGGCAGCTGTACCTGAAAGTCTGAGAGTCCATGCACAATGTGCTACACTTTCAGATCACTAATTTCTGGTGCAGTGAGTGAGTTATGTATGTTGAGACAGAGAATGAAAGGGGATCTTTGCAGCAGTAGTTCAAGAATGTGTGGTTTAGTTGTAGTTGTAGTTTGTTTTTGGCTAGTGACGTCACTAGCCAAATGACAGCAGGCAATGTTGTGGGTGTTAGTGTATGTTTTTCCTCATTTCCTGGAGAAGGGGAATAAGACTGGGGAGTGGGGGACCGACTGGAAGCAGCGGATTTCCCTCCTTTTCCTCCCTCTTCTTCCACCATACCTTCAGATGCAGCTCCGTCGGTGACGGCCGTTGTGAGAGGGCTCTCTGGACGACACAGCTGGAACATGCAGCTGAGAATGAGACCTCGTTCCAGCCAGGTCAGTACCTCTGGGACCACATCAACTTATTCCTTACTACACCCTCTCACTGCATATTATATACACACCTCTGAATAAGGAGAGGACCTTGGAGACATGGAGAGTTTCCTTATTCAGAGATGTCCCTTGTCGGAGGCTACAGTACACCAATGCATTAGTATGGGGCAGAACCAAGTGTCCTTAAGGCAAGGGCAGGTTTATACGATATCACCAGAGCAAGTATGTATGTGAGTACAGATTACCTCACTTCAGTAATGGAGACTGTCTTCCCCTTTGTCCAGGCTGTTGGTTCGCAGTGTGGGAGTATGCCGAGGCCAGCCCCCACTTCTCCTCCCCTCCTCTCTCCCTCTTCCTTCCATCGCACTCCCTGGCCCGAGGAGGCCTGTGATGGTCCTGAACTAGAACTGTGAGTATGGGAGGGAAGGGAAGGAGAGAGGGAACATTTGGGAGTTTAGGAGAAGGATGGCAAGAGGTCAGTGCAGGTTCAGGACTAGGAAGGGTATGCCATCTAGGACTAGGTACATTAGTAAGGGTATACCATCCTCCCACATAAGGCATCTGTTGTTGATTGTGTGGTCCAGGGGAGTTTGTTATGATGTTAGAAGAAACAGTGCATTATTGAGGAAATGTACAGCTTCCATGGGAATCCATTTCTTGCTACACTACGACAGTCGTTCCTTTGACATCACTTCCGTAGCAGAGTGTTTCCTGCAGACTTAGAGTGAAGAACGTAAATCCGCTACCCTTAATTCGGCGGAAGTGAGGGGACGTGATGTTGCGTTGTAGCCATACTGTAACTAAACCAAATGTTCATAATATAATTGGCTCACACAAGTCCTCTATAGTGGGTTTGCAATGTCATGTGGGACACAGCACATGACATCCTGACACATGCATGTGCATACAGTACACACATTGAGTATTATAACCACATTTGTGACAGTATTAATGTGTGGTAACATTGGAAGCTGACTCACTGTAGCTGACTCCATTTGTTGAGAAAACTGTGTTAAGGACAAGGGCAAATGTAGCAACAAGGTCATTGCTACATTTGTCACACCTTACAAGTTAAAAGAAGGCAATTTGGTCAAAGGGAAGGGAGTGAGTACCATCTACAGCGTGGATAATGAGGAAAGAATTCCCCAGTTGTAACTAAAGAGCTGTTGTCTACAAGTCCAGCTAGAGCATTGTGCAGTGCTGGCTGGTGTGAAGGAGTGTTGGGTGGTGTCCCAGACCATTGGGACACTGGGAGTGTTTACTCAGTAGTGGACTGTTTGTAGTGCCACTCTCAACACTAGGACTCTCCCTCTGGACTGCAGGGGCTGTGCATGCAGTGGCCCACTAAACATTACAATTCTCAGTACTTAATGTATGGGGCAACTGCTCACATTTTGGTGAGCTATTAAGGGAGCGAGATAGGGGAAAGACAAAGTAGGGAGCGAGAAAGAGGGAAAAGGAAATCTTGTGATGAACCTCTGTACTGCATAAGTAGATCTGGGTGGTGGGACCAAACTTCCATGTACTGACTTCCACGCTGCTCTCTCTCTCTCTCTCTCTCTCTCTCTCTCTGTGTGACTGCAGGAACAGCAGTATCCCCAGTCTCCAGTCAGTCCTGGACACAGCTGGTCGCGAAGAGTACGAAGAAATGGCTCAGCAGTTGTCACGAGAGACAGAGCTGGAGACCAGTGGCAGAGGAGACCTTCTCCTGGCCCCCTGCCCTCCCCTCCACCCTCCTGTCAGGTGTGGCTAACAAACTAACCTTCCACCACACCTATAGAGACCTATTAGTCGTGGTGTTGGCTTGTACAATCCTATGCCAATGTATGGGCTGAGGCATTAAAACAAGGCCTTGAACGCAGAAGCATGTTTCAAGGCAAAGAAGTGGTCAGGAATTTCCTTAAAATGATGAATGGTTGGTCCTTTAATTGTGGCAGAGGGGGCTGAGGAATGGAGGCACCCCGGACTGTCCCCTGATGGAGGGACTGTTTTATATGCAAATATCCACATCCTGGGACTCAACCCACACAACTCTGCCAGTTGCCATATATGGCAGGCTGCACACTTCAAGGATAATGAGGTGTCTTTGGCCAGTGGTATATAGAGAATAGTCTTGTAGTCAGTAGTAACAGCATGCCTCTTTCATGTATATGCACAAAGTAATACCTGGGCCAAGTAATAGTGGGTGAAATTGTGTAGTCCCTGATGGTGGGGGTATCTGAAGGAACTCCACTAACACATCCCATAGCCCAACCATAATTACATTAACTGTGGGGGTTTGAGGAGGACAAGGTTTGCTGTATGTATGTATTTCTTCAGGACTGAGGTGTCCATGTCCACTGGCAGACTACTGCTGAACCACCTCAGTCTGCTGGGAATGGAGGTTATTCAGGTGAGCTCCTCCCTCCCTCCCTCTGAGAAAACCTTCTTGACCTTGCAATACAAGTGTACAAAGGAGGGGGTTATGGATAAGTCTACTGTTTTACTAGTGTTCCACATAAACACTGCACAGTTCAAAGACCCATCCATGTAGATGTTTAGAGTTAATAATTATTTCTTATTCCTGAGGATCCAGATCTTATGGGACTCCTCAATCACGTGTCATTCTCATCCCGCATCTTGTCAGCGACATTAGGAATGTTTTCCATGCCTTGTCTCAGACTGGATTGAGGATCTTTCTCAGCTCTCTCTCTCTCTCTCTCTCTCTCCATGCATACACTGGAACAAAGAGAACATCGCAAATGGAACTGATACACAGCCGCCAGCCCATTGTGAGGGGGAATCCCCCCATGGGAGATTGGTATTCATAACCAGTAGCGTTTGCCGTCACAAGTCATGCCTGGTGGTCATGCCTCGGTGGTCATGCCTGTCTACTATACACTGTACTACACTATACACTGAGGAATTCATGTAATTATAAATCTATCCTTGTTGGGGACTCAGTAAACTAATAGCGGAAATGAGGGAAAGGTTTTGTGGACCTCTTGTCTCTGGTTTCACCTTTCACTTTTGGATATCCTGTTTACTACGACAGGGGGGCAGGGGCAGGGTCTATGGTGCAGGGCTGAATGCTATGGAATGGGGGTGAGTGGGTTCAGGGGAAGGCCCAAGTGAGATCAAAGGTGATCTCACTGTGAGTAGGCCCTCCAGACTCTGCCGTGTCAATCAGCTACATGCCACATTACCATAATTGCATATACAGGCAACTTTCAAAGCCACTCCACATATCATGCTAACTGCACAGAGAGCCCGCTGGGAGGTTTCTAACACCCACAACATTAACCCCTTCACTTCTAATAGTGTATTTGGTTCCAATAGTCTTCCTGCCATGGTGCTGTGGTAGGCAAGGCAACGGAGTGGCGGTAGGGACCTCACAGGCAAAAGAGACCCGTAACTAAACCTTAGTACAAGATACTTCTCACTCTCCCGGTGGTTTCCTAGCTACCAGGGTTCACCCTTGCCTGCCTGGCAACAGGGGATTCCCCACTTTGCACCATTTCTAACACCAATGTTTGTTCTTCCTCTCCCCCTCCCTCTCCCTCTCCTCTCCCTCTCAGCCACTGCAGGCAGGTCAGAAGCAGTCAGTGGTGATGCTGGACCACTCAAATCCCAGTTTCAAGCAGTCACTGGGTGGACTGGACCGACTCCCCACCAGGGTCTGTAACACTGTCTTCGTACTCTACTGCAGACAAGGCTGCCACAGACCAGATGACATTCTGGCTCAGCAGGTGTGAGGGAAATATCCCCACATGCACAATGCTTGGGCTCAGATCTCAATGCCTACTTTCACCTTGCACATACCAGTCTGAATACCTCCCTCTTCCCTTCCTTCCCCTACTGCCCGCCACTGCAGGCGGGGTCTGTGGGAGCCAGGCCACCTGAGTTCTTGGAGTTCCTCCAGGGACTCGGTTGGTCTGTGGACGATCTCAGTCACACCGGGTTCTCTGGGAAGATCCGTCCTGAGAGACCAGACGAAACAGGCCACCTGCTCCAGTTCGCTGCCCAGGTTCCTCAGCAGCAGCCGTTCCACTACTTCGCGGACTCCATGACTGAGATGGCGTTTGTTCAGCCAATTCTGCGGTCGTCGGTGAGCCACTCCTCGGCGAGTCTGCGCAGCGTGGAGTCCTCTGACTCTGGCCAAGACGCAGTGTCACTGATGAGCAAGTCCAGCCTCCCTCCACCTGCTCCTTCAGCTGCTGCAGGTGTTGAGAGAGAGCAGCTCTCCTCCCAGACCTCTCTCCCCTTCCTCCCTCATGCCAACCAGGCCGCAGCGGAGGGGGAGAGGTTTCACACTCTCCCCACGCGAGGGAAATTGACGTCAGGCTCACGGACAGACATACACTCCATCTCTGACCAGCCTCGCAAGAAGACTGCAGTTCCACAGGACTGTGCAGCGATGGTAGTGTGGCTGGAGAGGTTTGAGGACCACGCATCGTTTCCTCTGGAGAGCCTGAGTGCCGTCCTCCATGGAGCAAGTTTCTCTGGAGGCAGTCGATTGAGCCACCAGCGCAGGGTCCTCCCCTGTATCTTCATCCACATGCTGCCCTCTGGACTCTACCAAGTCACCACCACTGCTCCAAGGTTAGTTACATACATGTACACATAGTAGCCCCCGGGTTAGTTACATACATAGGTCCCCCCCCCCAGCTGAAGTCAGGAGGTGAAGTCTGTTTCCTCTTTGAAACTGAGGAGACCTCCTCTGTACGAATCTGTCACTGACTGAGCCCTGTTCCTGTGCATGTGGAAGCCATTTTCTCATATACTGCTGGGGGAAATACAAATCCTCGGTGCAGGGGGGCTGGTGTGTCAGTGTCTGATGCATGATAGGAACTGCAGTTTCATCTGCACACTCACACACAGGATGGAGTCACTAGCTGGACCACTGATGGAGGGGATGGTGGTAAGTCGCAGATCTCTGAGTCGCCTTGTGAGGCTCACTGCTGCCAACATGTGTGGCAGACATCGGCTAGACAACGAAGGGTATGTGTCTGTCTCAACTCAGGGACTCCTCTGTAGCCAATGGTGCCGGCTGAAATGTTGCATTTCTAGTTTTGCCTCCGCAATCAGTAGCGTCTCCAACAGTTTCAGTATAAAGATGTTTCCCTCATAGATATTCTCCGTAACCGCCAGCATGCTAATGGGGTAGTTAGTACCTCAGTGAGAGACTGGTGTGTGTGTGCATGTGTCCCCTCCCTGTGCTCCAGGTACTGTCCACCTCACGTGAAGAGGAAGAGGAAGATAGAGGAGATGGCAGCTGCATTCTCTCTCCAGACATCCGTCCCAGAATTCTACTCCAGACTCCTGTTCCCTGACAGAACTGTTCCCTGAGAATAGCGTAGTGACCCTGATTTTGTCCTCATCATTCAAGTGTTGGCATTCGGTATAGTTGCGTTGCGTTCCAGCGAATGTTCCGGCAGCCAGCTGCGGGGGCGCGGGCGCGTGCAAGTGCGTCATCGTCGTACGGGAGTTTCTGGAGGGTGTTTCCCCCCGGCCCAGAGGACGGTATACAAAAGCCGCAGCCTGCAGCTTTTGCGCAGTGTTGCAGTTGTGAGTTTGTTTGCGACCTTCGTTTTTGAGTTAAAAAGGAAACTAGCATGTCTCGATCTCGGCAGCTGGGAATGAGGACGATATTCGGACAGGGCGACCTGGAGCGGGTCTCGCAGGCGCAGGGGAAGGTGATGGACATGTACGAGTCGATGAGAACCGGTCCGGACTCGGGGTTCGGCTCAATGGCGACCAACAGCAGTTTGGGAGAAGAGATGCCGGCTCCACCGAAACTCCTGGGGGTGACCAGAAACCCCGAGCAGACGGACTCCGGGCTCGGGGAAGACGTTGAGACGGATCACGTGGCCGTAGAGACGCGGACCTCGGCTCTCGATCAGGTAGAGATGGCGCCGTCCGAGGTGAGCGTGGAGCCGCCACGGAAGACTTCGGGGATCTCTGTCGCGTTGCGGGCCGAGAAACCCTTGCCTCGTCGGCCGAGGAAGACCATCGCTCCCTGCGTTGGAACCAATATGCAGTACAGTTCTCCGCGACAGGCGACGAGCGACGCGGGAGCGGGCAGCGGACTCGGGCCCCCGTCTCTCACCTCGGTACACGTCCCGGCGCAGCAGGCCCAGGAGGAGGTACAGCGACTTCACCTGCAGAACCAGTGGGAGCGCATCCTCCTCCAGCAACGACTCCACTACCTCTTGCCCAACAAAGAAGGCGACACGTAAGTAGACAGGAATCTTATGTGTATTGTATGTGCAATACTTGACGTGTGTCTCTCTCTATTGCAGTGGTGTTCATTTGGCAGTCATCCATTCCCGGCCAGACATACTGATCCAGTTGCTGGCACTGGTAGCCACTGACGCCAGATTGAGAGTGGCTCTGGACGAGCAAAACAGCCTCTATCAGGTATGTATATTAGTCATCCCATAAAATTAGTAGCCTGGTGGTGTACTGTTAGCTGGTAATCCCCTTATGTGGTATTGCCAGGTCAGGTAGTGTATATACCTGTAGGGTAATGAATTTAAACTCCCTTTGAATACCCTTTGGGCAAATGGAAACTAAGTCAACTCTCCCTTCCTCCCTATTAGACTGCCCTCCACATTGCAACCCATACTCAACAAGTGGAGATGATACAGAAACTGTTGGCTGGGGGAGCTTCGCTCGAGCTCACCGACCACAAGGGAAACACGCCGCTGCACGTAGCCTGTCGGTTCAGCTCCACCAAGTGTCTGGAGGAGCTGGTGAGAGGTGTTCCGTTGGACCGACTCTTGGAGGCCGCCTGCATTCGTAATCACCAGGGACAGACCTGTATCCACGTGGCAACGGAGCGTGGCAACACAGACGCACTCCGCAAGCTCAAGAGCATTGGCATCGACATGAATGTGGAGGTATGAGCTAGGGGGAGAAGAGGGGTATTACTCTCAATAGATGACAGTAATAGCCTACTATGTTGTGGCCATACAACCTCATTATGGGACTAACCCTAGTGAGTAGAGGAAGTTGCCTTTCCCACGGCGTTTCCTACTGCCTCCTGCCTGCATGTAAACCCCTTTGCAAAAGGTCCTGTTTTGTATACACATGTTTACCAACAACACTGTCTCTGTTTGTGCAGGACTTCCACAGTGGAAAGACCCCTCTCCACCTGGCAGTGGAGAAATGCTCTCTCACTGACGTCCAGTTCCTCACAGAGACGTGCCAGGTCGACGTGAACAAGGCCACCTACTCCGGGTGCACAGCTCTTCACACAGCCGCTGGCCGCGGGAACATTGCCGTTGTTGCATACCTCCTGTCCATGGGGGCAGACCCCGACCTTCTCACAGATGAGGGAGACACGGCTCTCGACTTGGCTGGCTCGGACCAAGTGGCCACCATCCTCACAAAGGCTGCCACGCTCAGATGGCTCAGTGCATAAACACTCACTCAGTCACACCCACAACGCTTGTCCTCACACTCCCCTCCCTCCTCTCTTCATGTGTGTACCTCTCTCAACCCACGCCAGTCTTTTTTCGTTGGAAATTATGTCGTTTATCAGTTGTATTGTTTTTAATTGTCGCGACCAAAACTGTGAGAGACACATTATTGTCAGAGTTCCTATTGAAGGTGTTATGTACTGAAAGAAGATGAGGAGGAAGTGGGGACTGCAGCTGGAGTAGTAGAGGCTGATGTTTTAGCTGCCGGTCTTGTCAGAGTCTTGCTAAAGATAGAGTAGGTGTACTCCTCGGCATGGAGAGGGTCACAGTACAGCGGTGACGTCTCATCTTCACAGTATCTACATTAGTGCGAGTCTGGAGCCTACGTGCATGTTATGGAAAGAGTCTTACTTCATCTTTTCTCGGAAGAAGCGACTCGAAAGTGTATTTTCTGGACATTGAAAGAGAATTTGAGGGATAAAACCTGTGATTCTCCCAACAGTAAACCACAAACAGAACGTAATGCATTCCCTCCCATAAAGAGTGGTAAGTGTTGGCGCACTATACCTTTTTACAGCACATTACCTTTGAAGACAGTCAGCATAACCTTCCTCATATGAGTCCTGCATGTGGCAGAGAACGCAAACATGGACAGCCGCAACCAACCCTATTAGGTCACACGGCATTTTGCACCCTTCACTACCGCAGTATACACTGGTGTGCCTCCGCAAAGTACACATTATGAATGTAAAACAAACGTGTTCTGGAACTCGGGCATCCTGTGGTATCATTCCCTTACCTATGAGCAATAAGCTCTAGGATCTGCATCAGAAACTTTCCCAAACCTTTGTTCCTGACCTCAGCACTCAAGTGGATTTCGTAACTGCGGCAGGCGGAAGACTTGTTGTCACAACAACCAGGATGTAAGAAAAACACATGTAATGAAAGCGTGTGTATGCTTAGTGGGGAGAGGGTTAGCCCAGAGCATAAGATGACATAAACAAGCCACTCATGCATGCATGAAAACACATGCTGCATAGTTGGCATTCCTTGGCCCACCAGTAAAGTACTTCGACCCCTTCGTCAAGATCGAACCGAAAGCTGACAAATCCGAGGAGAGATCCAGACACAGCATCACGAGCCAGGAGAAAACTGAGAGAGTGGGGGTGAGGGGAGGAGCCAGGGGGAGACCACGCCTACCACGACGTCTCGTCTGTCAGCTCCTGCCACTTGTCCCTGTCATTCCAGCCCCACCCACCTCTGACATAACTGTACTAACATGACGTCATAATTACATCACCACCAACAGAGAAACTGCTCACTATTCCTTGACGCAGGTCTTCATGAGTTCAAATGCCCATTTCCTCTCCTCCTCGGGGACCTGGTGCACAGGATGGAAACTAATGGCAGCATCCAATCTGACGGAAGAGAGAGGGTGAGGAGAGGAAGGGGCGGAGGCAATTTCCCTGTACTCGGAACTGTGTGGTACAGTATGTGTTACCCATTTCTGGTGTATCTCCTGAAAGCTTGCAGAGAGGCCATGTGGTCTCCCATCTGAATGAAGGTGTGTGTGTGTGTGTGGGGTGCATGTCTGACGGTACACTCACTCCTACATTACCTCGTATGCTGCCTTTACTTTCGCCATAGCAGCTACCACCTCTGCTTGCTCCTGACAGTGAGACAAGTTTATCTGATTCAGCAGTGAATGGAGAACACATCACCTGCTTTTTTCTTGCCTTCCTCTCCTTCCCCCGACCTCCTGCCTTCTTCTGCAGGTCATTGCAAATTTTGTCATGTGTGCATGCTAATAGTGCTTCATTGTCTGGCCTTGGATTTTGGAGGCATGTCAGTCCACTGCACTTGCTCTCTGCTCATGCAGGGGGCGGGGCGATCAGTTTTGCGCGTAAGCGCGCGTCGTTACGTAAACGCACGTGTGTGTGCGCATGCGCACGGACTTTCGGGGCGCGCGCAATTGAAGCGCGCGAACTTCAAAACACCAGAGGCGGCCAGTCACTAATCAACCACCACACGGACAGAAGGGATGGAAGACAACAAGAGTCTTCCAACAGACAAAGGAGCCATTGCACAACCGTCCTCTCAAGCTCCATTGGTTCTCCCATCAGGACCTTCAGTAATGTTGGTGACTGGAGGGAAGAACACGGTGCTGGTTGTGAGGGAACCTTCTCTGGACCTGGAGAGGTTCCTCCCCTGTCTCCTTGCCTCTTCTTTCTCCCAAAACAACACACTGTCTAGGGTCCCCTTCTCCAACACTCTATCTGGACCTCAGTTCTCTTTCATCAGACCCAGAGCTCCAGGACTGGTTGGTGGTGGGGCACAGAACTCACTCCTTGGTCAACTGGAGAGCACCGACAACAAGGCCCAGGCTCTAGTGCCTCTGCAGCAAGTTACCAAGATAACTCCCACCATTCATTGCGTGGTTCAGAACACTTCACCTACTGCTGTTCAACCTCAACTGGAAGTGGAAGAAGACAACTCACCCACTGGTTCTCAGTCAGTGACAACACCAGAGAATCAGACGGTGCCCACTGTCTGCTCCAGCACAGATATTCCACACCAGCTGGATGAGAAATTCAACAATGTACCCCAACTGGAGGAGAACTTCAGTCAACCACATCAGCTGGAGAGAGAGCAACTAGGACAAGAGTCAGATAGTGAACTAGACATGCCAGCTGAGGTCCCTTCTCCCCAGCTCTCCCTCGACAACAGCTCCACCTCATTCGAGACTGATTACCAGGAGCCTCCCCGGAAGATTGCGAGGCTGGCTGGGGGAGTGGATGAGTACTGGGAGGGGGTGACAGAGGAAGCTGATGATGGGAGCTCCACGGCAGACCAGGCGGTCCCTGGCTCTGGGTGTGCTGCTCAAGGACACTCCTCACCTGCCAACCTCTCTCCCTGCCGGCAGAGGAGAGGAGGTGGAGGAAGAGGAGAGGGTGGGGGAAGTGGTAAGCTGGTGTGTGGAGACCATCAGGTAGTGCCCTCTGACAGAGAAGACACAGAGGAACTCTCCTCTCTTTACGGACACCACCCACCTTCCGTCCCCTGGGACGAGAAGTATTCAGTGGTGGAGAGAGAGGATGAAGGGGTGTGGTCACCATCCAGTCTCAGACGCTACAACTCCTGTTACAACTGCAGCGGAAGACGTGAATACTCGACACAGGAGGCCTACCCCACCACAGTCCACCTGAACCTCTCCAGACCAAGACTGAGACTGGGTCTGTCCAAATGCCAGAGACCTCGTCAGCCACTTCACCACTCCCGAGAGGAATAAAGACCCACCCCTATCATCATCATCTTCAACATTGTCTCCATTATTGTGCATACATTATATAATATATAAATATATGTGTGCTTCAGTTTCATTATTATGAGAAGTGAATCAAGTATCGGAGTTCATTCAGAGACGACAGTCACATGGAGTGACAGGCCAGACAGTTGAGGTCTTGCTCACCACACACCCGTATCCACGACAGACTCTCGTTAGCTGGTGGGCGGGGCAACTGGAGACCACTCCCACCTCTACTGCGTGGGAGACTCACGTACTGTGCCACAGGAGGCAATGACCTGTCATTCATCACGGCAGTATTATCCCAGTTCACAAGAGAGCATGCCAACCTGGAGAGGAGTATTTGGTAGAGGGAAGTCTGCTGTTGCCTGGCTAGCAGACTGCGGCGGAGACTGGGGTGAACTGACTGGCACCGCTCTGCCTGTGAGTACTCCAATCTCCCATCTTCTCCCTGCATAATGGCACACCTCAAGTAATGGCTCCTCAAGGATTGATCATTTTCGTTTATATGGTCGTTACTTTATGAGCGGTAGTGAATTATGGTAGTGTCAGCTTACCTGTTGCCAGCAGAGGTGAGGAGATGCAGAGGATTGGCTGAAACTGCCAGGAGAGAAAATTACCAGGGTCCCCTCAAAGTAGGCGTGTCCTTGCTGGAGTGCAGGATGGTCGCCAATAATTAGGGTAACCCCCAGAGATGCCAGGTAACGAGCGGTTGCTAGAACAGTTTCATCGGGAAGGTAGCTCCCTCCCCTCCCCCATCTCACCATCACCACTATCACATCAGCTCCTCTCTGGATGAACCTCTACACTCTACACCACAGAGGACATTTTCCACTCACTGATTTGAGAGATTTGACAGCAGTAGCAGCGGTTCTGGGGCTGTATTTGACTGGGGAGAACAGCCCGCCTGAGTCCTCACATTCTTTATAGACGGCACAGTAGGCGAGAACGGAAATCCTCAGTCCATTCACTGACACCAGATCTTCCTTTCTGACAGACAGACCGACCCAGTGGAGCCCTGCCTCGTTGAGATGGCGGGTAGTTGTCTGAATGTCATCCTCCTCTAGCCCAGAGTAAATGAGCTCGTTTGCCAGGGACACTACCCCCAATCTTCGCATACCCAGACCTCTGAACGAAAAGATAACTAACTCAAACTTTGATCTATCTCAGTGCTACCTGAGAGCCTCCAAGGTGGAGGCATTGGTGTCCAGAGGTAGAGGCTTGGTGAGAGTCCAGGCAGTTAGATCAGCTGGCAAAGTTCTGACAATGTCTCTCAGGAGGTCAAGTATCTGTGGACCTGGCCCGAGCTCCAGGCTACCAATCCCTAGCATGGAGACAGAATGAGTCAGATATTCACCAGTTGCTTGTCTGCAGGATGGTTCAACTGGTGGTCCACGTCTCGACATTGCTTTCACGAACCTCTGCACAATCTCTGCACACACAGAGTAGACTGTTAGCTGTCAAACACAGCGATATGTGCTCCGTGTGCACCTGATCTGTCGGAGCTAGGTGATCTACGATCCTGAGTGTCTTGTGGGGAAGGCAGGAAGGCTCTGGAGTGGCGGCTGGCGGCTGATGGAGGCCCAGGGAGGGTGGAAACCGTCTCCCAGTCGACCCCCACCGCCACATTCCAGAGCCGTGTTGTTGATAAACAGCGCCAGAATGATAGAGGACCCGAAGAGAAGCAGTGTAGCTCTCTTTAGACCTCGGGAACCCATTCTGCCTCTGCTGTCGATGTTCGCAGCCAGCCCTACCCCCCCTCTCGTGAACTTCGTAGTACTGCTGCCGTTACGTAAGTTGTTTACCATGACGTCACTAACAGCTGAGCTGGCATTTTTCTAGGGGTCGAGCCTCGGGTCGAGCCGCGGAGACCTGCCTACCTACTAGAGATGATTTGAAGGCGACTCGGTCATTGAGGACACAGGATGGTAGAAGAAAGGTGAGTGTATTCGTGGTCGGTATTTGTTGTCCGTATCAGTTCAACGGGCCGCGGGCAGATGCGAGCAACAGACGGCGGGCTCGAGTTTGGGCGACGCCAAGGGACTCTGTGAACTGAGGGAGGAGGTGGAGCAGTTGAAACAGAGGTAAGGAGACCGTGCTCCTCCCAGACACACTCTGAATCCGTTCCTCACTCCAGTCTGGCGGAGTTGGTGCACGAGAAGAAGACAATTGCAGCAGCAGTAAGTCAGTCTGTGTGTACAACAGGGTCTCCGAATCAGTGTGTTGACTGACCCAGATGACAAGAGTGGTGGAGGAGAGACTGAGAGTAGAACTAAGAAAGAGAGCATATGAAGAGAGCAAGCAAAGACTGAGAACAGGTAGGATGAGTGAGGTGTGTACTAGCAGGCATGAGGGGACTGTGTGTAATGATAGAGTACGAGGAGCTCCAGCAGGTGGCCAGTAGTAACCAGAGGAGAGAGGATCGCCTGGCGAGAGTGAGGGGGAAAGACTTCTCCAAGAGACTGCAGGACATGGAGGTTAGGGTGGGTGGAGGGGGGTGGGTGTGGAGTGTGTGATGTGACTGCAGAGAGAGTGTGGGGAGAGGAAGAGGGAGGCGGAAGAGAAGAAGCAGAGGCTACAGGATGCTCGCCGGGAGTCAGTGGTGACTCTGCAGAGCTCTGTCTTCCCCATCCAGGTGGAGCCACTGAGTCAGGACGACGCCGGGGAAGACGGTGTGTCCTCACACACTCTTATCCTCACATGCGATGCCCTCTGCTCTCCTCAGACTACCAGTTGTCAGCAGTCATTGACTGTGAGACTGCAATGGATGTGGACGATGGCTGGGTCCTCAGTGGAGTCCACAGGAGCCCCACTCCGCATGCCTCCATCATCTCTGCCTCTCTCCCTCTCAACGGAGATTACTCTCCTTACATCGAGGCCTGTGAGAAATCACTCGTTCCAATTGTGAACACATCAAGCACACTTTGAAACAGTTTGCAGTCGACTGATGCAGGACTCATATTTTACTTGATGTGTTCACAATTGTATGACCTTTTGCCCCTTGTTTGAGGAGCCCTGTTTTGCAGCTGAGGAGAGACGAAAGAAACTGAAGACGGCCTCTGAAACTGGAGGTACAGATTATTGATGTTCCAGAGAGATACTATCACTGATTGTTCTCCACTACACATGTATACAATAGCTCCGTTGCCCCCGGTGACGGCTACAGGGCTCCACCCCCTGCTACAACCGTACTTGGCGGTGCCTGCAGGTCTCCAGTTCACGGCTCAGTTTGTGGAGATTGCAGCCGACATTCTGGACACACCCCTGTCACACCCCCTCCACAGACCTCTCTGCATCCTGTGAGTTGAGCATGTGACTGTCACATGACCTCAGGGAATATCTGCAGGGAGTATGGGAACCAGAACAAGAAGAGACGTTCCTTTGTGGAATCTCGGGCCAAACTTGATGACAATATCCTCTACCTCTGCTTCTCTCAGGTCTGGACTCACAATAGCTGTGGAAACCAGGGGTTCATTTGGAAGGTCTCACTAGCTATTGTAGTAACTGTGCTAGGGCTAGGGCAGTCAGTCGAATAGCAATACCTAGCTCTGCAACTAGCTAAGCATAGTCGAAACTGCCATCCAAAAGTAGTGAACCTCATCACGAGCAGACTTGCATGATTATGTGAATTTGCGTTGTTCACCAATGCAACATGGTTTTATCCTCTTGCAGAATGTCCCTCTCTCTGCTCTCTCGCCTGGCCACACCCTCAGCAACATCCTGGCTCTTGTCACTCACTCTGAGCTGGGACGGTAAACCTCTGCTAACAGCAGTGTAGGCTCATATTCCTCTGGCCCCTCCCCCCACTGCAGACAAGGAGCCTTCTCCTGCCAGCCTGACCTGGCCATGTACAGAGGAGACAGTGGAGCTCTGGCAGGAGATCCTGAGAACGAACCTCCTTCGCTCTGTACTGCAGCAGCTGACCTGCCCCCGGAAGACAGTGATGAGGGGGAGGAGGAAGAGGAGGGGGAGGAGTGGGCGAGTGTGGAGGTGAGGACAGGGAAGGAGAGAGGGAGACTCGAATACCAGAGTGGGTATTTTGGACTTTGTGTCACTGGGAGACAGCAGAGAGGCAGACACCCATGGGGAGAGAGGGAGAGGAGGGGAGAACAGCTGGTCTGTTTGCAACTATTAGCAGTCTTCTCAGTTCCACGTTCAGTCAAACTAACACATGATCATACAACACACCAATGATTACAGCACTATTTAAAGAGTCTATTATGAGAGATGGGAGAAGTGTCAGGTGGCCTCTTCTTGCTCCAACTCTTCCTCTGAATCGCTCTCTTTCAGGGAGTCCTTGGCATAGTCCACTGCACTAGCCTTCACGTCTTCAGGCACCAGTTGATGCAACCCTTCAGTAGCTGCACGGTGGAGAAGGGAGGGAGAGGGTGTCTGTATGTGTGAGAGCTGAGGAACTAACCTTCGCCAACCCAGCTCAGCTCTAGTTCAAAATCCTTGTCCTTGACTTCGTCATGTACAGCATAGATTCTGTCAGAGAAAGTATAATATTATACAAGGTATTAATATACATACACATGTAGTGAGAGCACTCACATTCTGGTGGCCTCCTTCACCAGTTCAGCCAGTGTCATGTCTGACATCTAGAGAGAGAGAGACTGGGAAGAGTGGCGTGATAGAGACCAATTGCTCGCTACCTTTAGTTTCTCAAGCTCAGTTTTGGCTGCTTGTTTGGCCTTCCCTACTGCACATGCCTTGTAGCCCTGAACAAACAAACGGTACAAAATCCCATGTGAAATTGATCTACTGCACCAAGTGAAGGTAATATGAAACACTGGCTCACCCAGGACACCCCAGAAGGGTCAGTCATAAAGAGCTGAGGTCCAGTGGAGGAAGAGTAGGAGCCAAATATCAGGGAACAACCGAAAGGTCTGATCCCACTGTACAGGGTGCAGACATGCATGTACGAAGACATCCGGTCAACCAACACCTGGACACACAGAGATGGAATTTCGAGGGGTGGATCCTGTAATTACTAGGAACCTTGAGTGGAATTGGCTGACAGTAGTGAGAACGGTACTTGCTAGCTTCTTGGCGCGTCTCCTCAATTACCTGACACAGAACCAGGAGCAATGTTAGCTGAGCAGCCAGTAAAACTGTTGTCCTCATACCGTTCTAGCATCCGAGAACAGTCCCGTGATGGCCTGGGGAATTATAGATTACACCCACTGCACGAAACCACACCCACTCTCGGCAACTCACCACACCCACATGACGGTCAATGGTAGATATTCGCTGGTTGACTGAACGTTCGTGGAGTTTTGAAGTCACAAGTTTTTCGACTGCAAACACAACTCCGTCCTTCCCCCTAATTGCAACCGCTGTCCTGTGGGCGGAGCCTCAATAGGGAGAGGACTAGCACACATGCTCACTCACCCACTGTTCTCCACGGCCTTGTTGGCGTACTCGATCTGGAAGACACGGCCATCGGGAGAGAACTGAGCTGCCGACAGGTCGTACTGCATGTGTATATGTACGTGTATGGATCACGTGCAATACTCCACACATACGTAAACAGCTACACAATACTCACCCCAGTTCCAATGGAGCTCATTTCTGGCTAGTAACCGACTGCAGGAAGGGGAATGGACAGGGTCTGAGGGATTTGGCTGAAAACACACACGTGTAGACGACCAACAAGCCGTTGGACTTTGACCTTTAAATTGGGCGTGGCTTTACAGACAGGTAGAGGGGCGTGGCTGCGTCTCGAGAGCGATCGAGATCGCAGGGCGAGGCTAGTGACCTGGGTGCTAGGCAGAGGGAGGACAGCAGGGAGGCAAGATGCTTGCGTGGTTGGCTCGTAAGAAGTACCAGTTCGAGGCTGCGACGTCACTGACGATGCTGGAGCCTTCAGAAAAGAGAGTTCTCTGTATCCTCAAGTCTCTATGTCTAGTTAGCTAGTCACTCTGGGTGTCAGAATTTCCTGAGCCAATGGCACCCAGATGTGGTCATGTTTCTCCTGCTGCTGATGACTATGTACACAGTACTAGTCTATCTGCCGCCGCAGCTCCGGAGTTTCGTCACGTTCGTCTCTGGCTACTAGCCAAGCCAGACCCTCCTCCCTTCTTCTGCTGTGACTTTCAATTCAGTCTATATCACAACCTAATGCATTACAATATACATGTCTCCAGAAAGTAAGAGAGAGTGTAATAAAGAAAAGTCAGAGTCTATGTGACAATGATGTCTTCTCTTCCTGGACCTGTTCCTACCCACTGAACTGGATACAAAGGAGAGAGAGAGAGAGAGAGAGAGGAGGAGAGGCAACGATTAGCATAATAGTAGCAAATTTCAAGGTATTTGCAGTTGTTAGTGAAAGCGAAAATATGTGGGTGTGGACCATAAAGACGAGGAGCAAACAGCAAAGGTGAATGGTGATGGCAAATGGTGAACTGCCCACAACAATTTCTGAGACTCACTGGGGACCTGAACCAGTTGAGAAATCATGTGCACGTAGGCCTGGGCGTTTGGAGGGAGGGCAGAGAAGGAGGTGAGACCAGCTGTGTTGCTCTTCCAGCCCGGCAGAACTTCATACTGCACCACCACTCGCTTCAGTTCGTGCTCCGCTGCGAGGATGGAGGGAGTATATATATTATAACAATAGGCAGAGAGACTGGCTGAATACCTGGCATTCCTTCAACTGGTGATCCATCAATGGTGTAAGCCACACCTACCTTTACCTCATCAAAGTCATCAAGAATGTCCAGTTTTGTCAGGCAGATGCTGTGAGGTGTAATATCACTACACGCTGTTAGCTACCAGCCGCTCTACCCCACCTGGTGTAGCCATTGATAATGGTGGAGTAGCGACCCACCACGGCGTCAAACCAACCGCACCGGCGCGGTCTCCCAGTGGTCACTCCGTACTCCCCTCCCTTCTCTCTTAGTCTCTTGCCCAACTCCTCGTCCTCCTATATCACATTCATCATACCACACATCAAAAAAATGAGTCAAATTTTTTCTTACTCCAAGGAGCTCTGTGGGCATTACTCCACTACCAACTCGAGTGGAGTAAGCCTTCATTACTCCGTACACCTCGGTGAGATCACGCGGGGGAATCCCCAACCCCGTGCAGACCCCGCCCACTGTACAGTTGGACGAAGTCACAAATGGGTAGGTCCCTGAGGAGACGAAGGGAATTAGCTAATAAGTGAACGTTCATTAGAGTAAACTGGGACCACAAGGGAGTTCAATGAAAAGGACGTTACTACCAATCAGGGTCACTGTCATGAGAGTCAAACTGCACGTGATACTTACCAAAGTCAATGTCAAGCATTGTGGCATTGGCTCCCTCCACAATAATGTTCTTATGTTCCTGAATGGCTTTGTGGAGATAGAACACCGTGTCTCGCACCATCGGCCTAACAATACTGATATACTCCTACAGTATATACCAGCCAGCCAGCCAGGGAGAGAGAAGAGAAAAGAGAGAGAGAGAGGAGAGAGAGAGGGAGAGAGTGAAGCAACAACTGTAAAAAAGAGTTTGGTTGACCGCCGGACCTTGCACTTGGCGAGCTCATCCTCAACGTCAAGCACCAGGTCAGGAAACCTGACAGAGCACATCAGTTGAAGACATTCTCAGACCTGACGAGACACCACTCACCTTGCCATGTATCCTTTTACCATCAGCCGCACTCTGGGAAGTAACAGAGCAGAACTAGAGTTTTAAGGCAGTGAAAATGTTGAGAGTTTACTTGTCTGAGAATACACCCCAGTCTCCCAGGAGGTCTTCAACCCTCAGTCCAACACGACCCATCTGCGATGGAGGGAGGAAATTGGGTGCTAGTGAGAGACAGAGGACAAACCTTTGCAGCATAGGCAGGACCAATGCCCTTCTTGGTGGTCCCGAGTCTCTTGTTCCTCTCCTGCTCCAGCTGCTCGTCAATCAGTTTGTGGAAGTCAAACACTGGAGTGAGAGGAGGAAAGACGTGTGGCAGGAGTGGCAACTGACAGGTGTGGGTACCAATGTGTGCTCTGTTGGAGATAAGGAGACGCTGCTCCCAGCCCTCCAGTCCAGGCCCCTTCTCTCTGTTCTTCTCCACCTCCGACAGGAGCCCAGACAGACTCACTACCACTCCATTCCCTGGAGGACGAGACGAAGAGACAATGGAGATGGTGTATTCTCTAGTGGGCTGGCTTACCAATGACTGACACACATTTCTTGTTGATAATCCCACTGAGCATGAGGGAGGGTTCAGAGCATGACACAACAAGCATCTCTGCAAATATTCTTACCTCGGCAGTAGGTGGAAATCATAGGTAACACCTTCTACCTTGACCGTGTGCCCTGCATTATTGCCGCCCTGTGAGTGTGCAGCAACATCAACCCCAGCTTTTGGTAGCGTTGTTCCTTACCTGACAGCGGCAAACGACGTCCGCGTCCTGCGCGAGAATATCCACGAGCTTTCCTTTCCCTTCGTCTCCCCACTGGCCGCCTAGAACCACTACCACGCCGCCGCTACTCCCATCCCTCCTGTGCCGCTTTACTTCAGGCTCGCCTCCACACGACATGCTGTTGTTGTGTAAGTCCAGCTTTTCCTGCACGGAACTCGCGCGAGGGGGATTTATATCTAGCAGTGCGCATGCTGCACTGATGCAGTGTTCAAACGGTGCAAACAACACAGAGAACATTATTGGTGCATCGCCATGACTAGTCTCAAAGAGGTGGTTATTTGGCAGTGCTGAAAGTCAGTGTGTTCACGTCTTCTTGAAATTCTTGAGGATGGGGTAAATGTTGGTAAAGGCCTCCATGATTTCTCCTCTCTCCTTGGCCCCTGCATGCAGTGGAGGAGAAGCAGTCAGTAACAAATGCAGTGAGCAGAGAGAGATACTTGCCTGTCAGTACAACCTTCCCAGAGACAAATATCAGCAGTACAATCCTTGGCTTCACCATGCGATATATGAGACCAGGGAACAGCTCTGGTTCATAGCTGTAGAAGAGATGAGGTTCTGGGGGGCCTATATAGGGATATTATAGTCTACCTGGAGAACTGAGGTTGGTTAATGACAAGGCCCTCTAGTCTGATGGGGAACTTTACGTCACAGCTTCCCACCATGTTCTGGATCTTGAACTCCATGAACCTTGCCTGTCACACACACACACTCCACCATTGTATACGGACCACACCCACACAGAGGGCTTACAGGAAAACCAAGTTTCTGAATGATTCGAGCATACTTCCTTGCTGCAAGTCTGGACAACTCCTCACTATGACAGAAACAGGGGGAGAGGTGAGGAGACGAAGTTTGAAGACTTGTTCCACTCACCTCTTGGCTCCAGTGCACACCATCTTCCCAGAGCTGAAGACCAGTGCCGTAGTCCTGGGCTCTCTGATCCTCATTATCACTGCCGCAAATCTCTACACAACAGACACTTATTCCAAATGAAACCACACACCCCAGCCACACCCACCTTGGGATTGTACTCGGCATTCCTGGCGTGGAGAGCTATTTTCTTGAGGTCCAGTTTGCACCCAAGATTGACAGTGGACACAATATTCCTACACAACAGTGGTACAATACAGAGATACAACGTATGGAGTAAATACTGGAGTTGAGGGATGATGCCAATGCTCTCTGGAGTAAGAGCGGAGTGTGGGGTACGGGGTACAGTGGAGGGGGACATGGGAGAGAACTGTGAGGGGGAGGGAGACGGGGCTGGGGAGGAGAGGTTCTGGACTGGGTGGGAAGAGGGAGGGGCGGACGGAGGAGGCATCAGAGCACTCAGAATGGCAGAGGCTGGCTGGTTGGAGGCAGGGGTCTGCGCCTGTGGCGTCTGTGGTTGCTGCTGTAGGGAGGAAAGAGAAAGGTCTGCCGATCCACACACCCTCAGGACGATACCGAGCCCTACCTGCTGCATCAGTCTGGACATGGGAGTCATGGGCTCGTGGAGAGGGGAAGGCATGGCGAAAGGCCCGGCAAGTTGTTGTTGCCTGGCGTGAGTCTGGCCCAACGGATCCTCCTGATGATGACCGAAATGTCCTCGTCCTTCCATTCTCTCCTTTGCGTGTGTGTCCCTGCGCTCTGCTGAGTCAGCTAGTAACGCGGAGGTGGGCGGAGAAGAATACGGAGTGGCGCGAAAAAGAAAGACGCCAGTGAGGACTTGGCACGTTTTATCATCATTTTCTCTCTCTAGACACTCTTCACCAGCTCTCCTCTGCCGCACCGAGAACCGTCCCTGAGACCGCTAATCGTATCCAAACTTTTTTCGCCCTGCATTTCCTCGATCGGGCAGTCGTTGGCGTGTACAGTTGCGTGCCTCCCTCATGCCGCTGTTGCACAAGAAGCCGTTCACGCCCGAGCGCCCGCCGCGGGATCTACGGCCGGAGGAAGAGGTGTTCCTGTGCAAGGCCACTCAAGAGGTGTTCAGGGACTACGAGTGAGCACTGCCAAAGACCGTAGATATGTAGAGAGCAGCGTGCATGCAGGAAAAATCCTGTTTTCTCAAGAAAAAACGTAGATGGGCACGGGGAGCTCTTATTAGAAACCCTGTGGAATGTTGAAGATGCGTATGAATGCACACAGTTGTGGATTGAGATCAGTGCTCTACTGCACCTTCCGCTCGCTTCACCCCAGCTCCTCCCCTCTTTCTGCAGGCAGTTCTTCAACCGGCATTTCCTCTGCAACAGCTACGTGTGGACCTGTTCTCTGACAGGACAGGCCAGCCTCACCTACACCCAGGCAGCTGCCAGTGAGGAAGAAGCCAGGCAGCTCCTGGACGCCTTCTCCCAGTGCTACCAGAGAGCTGTTCTGCAGCTGGTTCACCATGTCCCCCGCACCAACATCCGCTCCCTGGCAGACGAACTACTCCTCTTCCTCAAGGAGAGGTTTGTTGAGGGAGAGATCGTGCAGCTGAGTCAGGTCACCTCCAGTGGAGCCAAGTGAGACTCATGACCTCTCTCCCCCTCAGTGAACTACGAACTCTTACCTCTGCAGAGTGTTGTGGGTGGTCAAGGTTGCCAAGGTGATTCCTCCGGACCCCACCTCTCCTGTCCGGGTATCAGTCATTTCTCTCCCTCCCTCCGAGACCGCCACCCAAAATGGAGTCGGCCCCTCTCATCCACTCAATAACGGATTGTCCGACTCTCCCCCAGGGACCAATCCCGGGGGGTCTTCCTCTCCGAAATGTTTCAAGACCCCCAAGACACCGACCCCGCGAGTTCCGCTCACCCCCCAGGCCCACCTCTCCCCCTCTGCCTACAAGTATGTGGTGGAGATGGTGGATGAACCGCACACGGCACTCACTGTCCCCAGCAAACAGCTGACGTAAGTCTCTCCCTCACTGGCTGGTCTTCATTTGTTCATCTCTCTCTGTCCCGCTCTCTCTGTCTGTGTGTTAGTCGACCAAAGGGCCAGCTCAATCCCAAGAAACTGAAGCTGTTTTTGAGGAATGCTCTCACCAGACTCAGTGAGAAACATCCGTTCAGAGTGAAGGTACACCAACGTCACGACTGAGTGTATATACAGTATTGTCGTCAGAGAGCCATGCAACTCAACATTCTCAGCACTAAACAGTGCAGCCTGCTTCCTGCTGCACCTGAGACCATATTCTATTCCCTCTGAGTTTGCCTGAAACTGTGCTTGCAATTTTGGTAGCCACGGATGTTACAAGTCCAATGTCAATGGTAGACTCAAACGTTCTCTCTTCCCCTCTGTACAGGAGGTGTATGTCAAGCAGTTTGACCTGGGACCGTCTTCTGTCCCAGTGGACACTCTCCCAAGCCCCTCCCCCTTTGCCCGCTCGTCTCGCAAGCGATCTCTCTCCCAGGCCAGCCTCGACTCATTTCTCTCTCCCACTGGCACCGCTCCGTCCAAAAGGTCGCGACCTTCCTCCCTCGACACCTCCACACCCAGTGGAGGCAAGGCCAAGAAGAAGAAGACTAAGACGAGACGGAAATCGTCAGGCAAATCCAAGACCCCCAGTTCAGGGGGTCTGAAATACAGCAGGGGGACCCCCAAGGTCTCGGGAACCCCTCGCAGTCAGAGCGAGGCTCTCAAGGTGTTGAACAAGGCGAAAAAGTTCCGCCAGATGGACCTGAAGAAGAGTGTGGTGAGGAAGGCGGGGCTGAGTGAGGAGGAGGTGGCTGAGCTGACCAGGAGGGCAGAGGAGGAGAGACGGCGGTGGCTGGAGGTGTGGGAGGAGGAGAAGAGGAGGAGGAGGGAGGAGAGGAGCGAGAAACTGCGACGACTCCAGGAGCAGAAGAGGCTGGAGAAACTGCGGCAGACAGAGATGATGAGACCGCGAGAAGACACCTTGGTCACTGACAGCAAGGTCTGGTGCCCTCACACACACTCTGTGTCTCTCTCTGTATATACCTCATTCTCTTTTCCGGCTTGTTCTAATTCCTACAGCCGCTGCCTCCTGCCAGAGAGGTGATGTGTCGACTGCCGGCTGAGCTGTTTGGTGAGGCTGTGGTGGTCCTGGAGTTCCTGCACTCCTTTGGTCCTCTGTTCAACATCAGAGAAGTCATCAGAGAGGGCATCACCTTTGGTGAGTGGGGAACTAGGGAGATTAGTGAATGGGGGAGGTTGGGAGGAGAGGGAGGAGGGGTAAACAAGGCAACTGAGAGCTCTGAGTTGTCAGGGATCAGGTAATGCAGGGGAGAGGGGGTGGTTCCTGTGGTCAACCCCCACTTCTCGCTATTTTGAACCCCATCTCAGTGTTTGGGTCCCTATTCTCAGTCTCCTTTCCTTGTTTTGTTGACACCATTGAGAGGTCTATTGTATGTGTGTTGTGTAGATAAGCTGGAGCGTTGTCTGATGAGGAGCGATACAGACACCATTCTGTTTGACCTGGTGAGGTTCCTGGTCCAGGCGGTGCTGGCCGCCATGGAAGACGACCACGAGAACATTGTCAGAGTGAGAAACCTTGTGTCCGCCGGGCAGCAAGACGGGGAGGCGGAGGAGGGGAGGGCGGAGGAAATGGAGGAGGGGGAAGAGGGGGAGGATGAGACCGAGCCACTGGACGTCAAGGTTGAGAGTATTTGTGGGTCGTCTGTGGGATTTGCTCAGTGGTCCTGGCAGACTCAACGTCTCCCGCTGAGTCAGCTGGTGGTGGACCCCTACACCTGCACCGAGGTACTCCGACTCCATCTCCTCTCCTCCGGGGGATACTCCGAGACAGCAACTCGCAAGAGGTGCCGCAGCTATCGACGTGGAGGGTACAGCGACGGGGACAACCCTGCGATATATCTTCGTCTGCGACGACCGGATCTCCTGACGGCTCTCAGTCGCGGTTCCATCTACGATGTGTCGCCAGAGGATAAGCTGGAGCTGCTGTTGACGCTCTGTGGACAGCTGCTGACTTCCTCAGTGGCTAGGGAGCGTGTGGAGGAGAGTGCGGTGCAGGTGAAGAGAGCCAGACGAAGAATGAGGCAGATTCAGTTTGAGGAGGAGAGGAGGAAGAGGGAGTCCAGGCAGCAGAAGGCCAGGGAGAAGAAGGAGAAGAACAAGAAACTACTCTTGGGGGGAGGGACCAGTGCCTCTGGGTGAGTGAGGAGCTAAACTACTGTTGGGGGGAGGGACCAGTGCCTCTGGGTGAGTGAGGAGCTATTCACAAAGGTGTTTAGATTTGCATAGTAACCTATACTCGTGTGTAGAGGAAAGTTTGGCCGCCCTATTGGCACTGCTTACTTGCACTGCGTTTTCCAGCTACATATAGTCATGGTTGGCCTGTCCTTCCCTCCACTTGCTTCCTAAAAGCAAAATGTGAGCGCTGCCGAGGGTTAAACTGAGCTGATCAATTAATTCCCCAGAGAGTCCAGTACCCCACTGACTGGAGCTGGTGAGACCTCAGACCAGAGACAGGAGGAGGCAACAGGGCCTGCCGCCACCGTGGAGGCAGGGGAGAGGCAGACAGAGGGAACTGAGGCTGGGCAGGGGCCTCAGGAGACGGAGGAGGAGAGGAAGGAGAGGGTGGAGGCAGAGCTGGCGAGGCTGCGAGAGGAGCTGAAGGAGGCCGGGAGTTGCGTTAGTCTCCAGCCACTCGGGTCTGACAGACATCACAGCCGCTACTGGCTCTTCCCCAATCTCCCAGGACTCCATGTTGAGGACCTGGGGCTCTCCAGGACTCCAGATCCTCCTCCTGCAGCCAACATTAACATCCCTGCTCCCTCCACCTTCATCGATAACCCCACTCCAACACTTCAGCCAGTAACATCAGCAACACACTCCCTCCCCAAACCCCAACTGAAACTCTCAACACTCAGACCACACCCACTCCCCGCCCACCATCTCCGGATCACAAGTCCGTCGGAGGTTCCCCTCGTAGAGTGGGTGGAGTAAGAGGCGGGGTCAGGTGGTGTTGCTACAACTCCGAGGAAGAAGTGGAAGGACTGCTCGTGGCTCTCGATGTAAGAGGAGTGAGGGAAAGAGCTCTGAAGGAAGCTCTGGCTCTCCACAAGCCAGCCCTGCTCTCCAGTCTCCAAAAGATGGAACAGAGGATCAAGCTCCGCCCATCGCCAACGAGTTTGCAGGCCTACAGCAGCGGTGACCAGTACCTGGAGCTCTACCTGCGAGAACAGATCTTAGACGCCGAGGAGAAGATTCACCTCGGTAATCTGGGGCATCTGCGGGGGGATGAGGGGAGGGAGGAGTGGAGAGAGCGGATCGAGAACTCTGGTGCTGCTGCCAAACTGATTGCCTGGAGGGAGAAGAAGGAGGGAGGGGAGGGAGAGGAGAAGGAAACAGAAGTTGCCAGGCCGACATCTGGCAGTCCAGCATCTCGTGTTAACCCCTCGGTGCAGGCTCTGTCGCAGGCCCTGCTGGAGGTGGAGGCTGGGATTGAGCAGAAGTTCCTGATGCCTCCTCTGGGGGCTGCGATCGACAGCAAGCAGAGGAGACTCCGCAGCAGCTCCAAGAAAGAGGCGGTGAAGGAGACTGACGTGTGTCGGGAGCAGTGGCGTGCCTCTCTCTCCCAGGTCACCAGCTTCTCTCAGATCTTTCTCCACCTCGCCACGCTGGAGAGGGCCATCATGTGGAGTCGCTCCCTCATGAATGTCCGCTGTCGGATCTGTCGCAGGAAGGGCGGAGACGAGTACATGTTACTGTGTGACGGCTGCGACCATGGTTACCATACCTACTGCCTGAAGCCCCCGCTCCAGCAGGTCCCTGAGGGAGACTGGTTCTGCAGAGACTGCTCGCCCATCACACCAGTCAAACCACGGAAGAGGACCCAGCAAGTTACCTTTCAAGAGGTTGGCATCTGTTTGTTTATCGTTTGTCAGGCAGCCTTGATCCACTTACTTATGTGTAGTCCTGCTAGGGAACAGTATATAGAAGGTTGCCAAACTGTGTGGTGCATTAGGATGGGTGGCCATGCATTTATAGTACACGTATGAGCCCTGACAATATAGATAGCCGCAGCTGTCTGTGTGCACATAAGTGGGAGTTGTTTGTATGTTTGCTTTTGGGAAGATGGGACTGTAACAAGAGCTGTTGAGATCACATGTATGTGCTCAGGATTGTTGTATACCATCACCCTGGCTGGTCTCGTAAACATGCAATACTAGGAGTACAGCATAGCAAAGGAAGGTGTTCCTTAATTACTTCCCACGGTCGGGACTCGACGGCCCTTGCTGCCTGGTGATCTCACGCTTTTGAATCATTATCATGTGTAATTACAAGAGCTCATTCCATGCATTCCAGAGACTGCTATATATTATACATCACATCGCCTTATTGTGTGTGTGTTTGGGTGTACAGGTGGAATCAAGTGACAGTGAGGGGGAGAGAGAAGAGAGAGAAGATGAGGACGAGGCTGAGGAAGAGGGGGAGGAAGAGGAAGAAGAAGAAGACGAATCAGAGGAGGAGGTCTTATCGAGGCATTCTCTGAGGGCTCGGAGAGGACCAGCTGGCAAGAGGCGATCGGGTCGGCTGCAGAAGAAGTCAAACCATCGCCAGCAGCAGGGCGGGAAGGCCACCAGACAAAAGGCCAAGAAACCACCTACGAAGCCGGTGACCAAGGCGAGGAAGAGACTGAACATGGAGCAGCAGAGGGGTCCAGTCCCCAGTTCACGTGCTGAGTCTGTGGTGTCGGCCATCATTGAGCTGCGGTGCTCGCGGGGAGGCCGGGTAGGAGGGGGAGGGGTGGTGAGCAGGGAGCAGAGGGGACTGGAGATGCAGCTGTGCGAGGCTCTCTGGGAGGAGGTCAACGACCAAGACTGCAGCTGGCCATTTGCCGAGCCTGTCAAGAAGAAAGAGGTGAGGAAATCCATTCAATATGGCAGTTGATTACTACCTCTCTCCCAGTATCCAGACTACCAGGACGTGGTGGATGAACCAATAGACCTGAAGACCATCCGCAGCAGGATCAAGAGAGGAGAGTACGCTGGACTGGACAGTCTGGTGGCAGATATGAACCTTCTCTTCTCCAACTGCCAGCAGTTTCACCGCAAACACTCTGAGATTGGAAGAGCTGGTGTGGCACTCAAGAAGTTCTTTGACAAGAGGTGCAGTGACTTGGGGCTGAAGGATCTGCAGCTGATAGCTGGAGCCCCCTCAAGAGCCAGGCTTAGGTCCTCCAGCAGGACCAAGTAACTCACGTGACTGTCACATGTCAGACCTCTCACCCTATCACATCATCAAGCACACACACGCACCACTCACATACACACTGACACGTGTGTGCTCTTATTGTGTTGCATGTTATGTTGTTTGACGTGTAGAATGACGTCATTTTGATTAATTGTAATATCCGCACTCTTCAACCCCGCTGCGGCGAAAGCCAGAGAGCGATCTCTGCGTTGCGGTAGAACTAAAACGGCGGCTGGGGAGATGTCGATAAAGAAATTCTTGCCCTCCAAGAGCCATGCCATCCTGCTCAGCGACAAGAGCCGCTGTCGGGATGTCGAGTGTAGAGAAGGCACGCTGGTACAGGTCAGTTCTCGGCATCGTAAGAGATTGGAGCGACGGAGGAATGTACTGTGTGTGTGTTAGATTCTAGGTATAGACGGCCCGAGTCGAAACTCAGCCTGTTTCTTGTTTATGTTCTTGTAGCTATGTGTGCGCCGTGTTGCGTGTGTGTCTGAACCCACATGTAACCTACCTACTTCATCTGTGCACGCATACATGCCACAGGACGTGATCAACAAGGCCTGTACAGTTCTCAAGGTGGCACCCATTGGTCGGTTCTTCTTCGGTCTGAAGGACATGAAGAACCACTGCTATCTGAGCCCCTACCTGCCCGTGCCGCCGGGGAACCAGCGCTACCAGCTGAGGGTGTTTGTGAGTCCAGCGCAGAGCAACTTCCAATTCCAGATGGTCTCCCGCTCTCTTCTTCAGTACTACTACCAACAGGTACAGCCCCTCTCACTCTCCTGTCTCCCTGCACACACAACACACCACCTCTCTCCCTCCATCTCTCTCCCTCCACCTCTCGCCCTTGGTATATGGTTTGTTTGTTAGTTACATAGTGAATTTGTGTCAGGCCTGCATCCCGCCACTTTACCTTGTTCTGTTCTCCAACCTTCTCAAAACACTCCACACAAAGCCAACATGTTGTCAAGTTTGGCCCACAAGTGCATTAGCATTTATGCAGAGGTCCACTATATACCCTGTCTGCTGTTGACAGTGACAGGGTAATACATAGGAGTGAATGAGCTCACTCTAGGGGACTAGCTTGCAGGGAGATACCCTATAGTGAGAGGTCTGGCACAGGTGTGTGCTGCATGCTGGTGAGCTCAGCTAGCATGCTCAGAATGCGACCACTCATAGAGAGAGAGAGATGGGAAAGTGTCTTCATTTTGGCGATCACTCCTTCAAATGTCCCCAGCTGACAGTACTATCATTACAGGGGGAGTGTAGGCAGTGCCTAGTCCACAATCACTCACTCCTTTGTACTCACTCTTGCTATGTCAACATTAATTATTCCAATTATCCCCCCCTCCTGAAGTATGGGTGGGTAGGAGCTTATGTATGTGGGATCTGCGTGAGTAAAAGGACCGCGAGAGGGTCATCGTTACTCAGTGTAAAAATGTGTATATCCAATTAATGCCCACCCTACCCCAGGTGAAGGATGACTTTGTACACGGGTCTCTGCACCCTCCTGTTTCCGTCAACAACGCCATCTGGATGGTGGCGACCGACATGGCCAAAGAGGCAGTCGAGAAAAACAAAACTTTCAATGACTTTACGTAAGTATGCATAACTCCCTAATACAGCAACAGCTAACACTGCAGCATCGTTCACTCTCCCATTGCAGTCACACGGACATTCTGCGTCTCTCCTCGCCCTCTCTCAAAGAGAAATGGAAAGACGACGGAACAGTTGTGGACATGCTGGAGTCAACATTTGACAAGTTCCTGGATGCCTACCATAAGTTTAGTGGGTCCGGAGAAGGGGGCGGGGACAACTTCCCAGACCACTTCCACTGCCGCTACCTGGAGATCTACGAACAGGACGACCACTGCGGAACACATCTTTTCCAGCTTAAGGTCTTTCCCTAGACCTCTGTCTCTCTCTCTCTCTCTCTCTGTCTCTCTCTCTCTCTGTCTCTCTCTCTCTCTCTCTCTGTCTCTCTCTCTCTCTCTCTCTGTCTCTCTCTCTCTCTGTCTCTCTCTCTCTGTCTCTCTCTCTCTCTCTCTCTCTCTCTCTCTCTCTCTCTGTCTCTCTCTCTCTCTCCTGTGATACTGTCTTCTCTCTACTGGTTTTGCTTGTCTCCATTGTACATACATATGTCTGTCAACTGCGGTACTCGGGATGAAGTCATGTGTGCGTCTCATTCCCATGTTCAGGAGTCCACGTTCCCCCAGTCCTCGTTCACACGCAGGAACCGAGAGACCATGGTGATCCTGGCCGTCTCTCCAAAGAAGGGAATCTACAAGTTCAACTTCAAAGACAAGAAACAGGCAGACATCAAGGTCAGACCTCATGTGCAGCTCTGCCTTTGATCTCATTACCAGTCTGGGCTGAGGACTGCTCTAGTCAAAACTGTGTGTACTAGAGTCATCAGCATATTGCACTCCCTCACTCCCTCACCCCCTCACTCCCCCCCCCTGCAGTGCCTGTGTAAGATGGTGGAGGTGAGTGGAGTGACACTGGATGAGAAGAGTCTTGTGGCGACTGTGGTGTGCCTCAATCCCTCCCAGGAAGACAGCCACACCCGCAGTTACAAACTGGTTGGTTGATGCTCTCTCTTTTACTGGCACACACTGGTTGTTCTATTGTCAACCAATGGGATTACATATTGGCTTGCTCCTTGACACAAGAGTAATTGCAATTTTACAATGTTTGAAATTCTCCGCTGCATTCCACTCTACACATGAATTTTTACAATGATGGTGCGCTTACATAATAACTCCTCCCTCCTCCCCTTCAGTCACCTCCCGCACCCACAGCACTTCAAGACCAGGGAGGACCTGCTGTCTTTCTTCACCGTGGTGGATGCCTACTTCAGACTCAGAATCAAAGGTGACGCCACTCATCAGTCCTAAGACTGGAGAACTCTACCATCGTACAGAAACCTGACTTCACTAGTCAGTTACCATCTCCCACTAGTTGGCCGACTATAGCAGAGTATCATGCCGTGTTCTGGCCTCAGGTCTCCCTAACACTGATCTGTACTACGCTCCCATCTGCCACGAGGCCGTCCAGAAGGTGCTGCAGAAGTTTGGACGCGCATGAGTGGCGAACGTCTGTGAGGACAGAGCCGCAGTCACGACAGCTCCTTTGTCCTCTCGCTCTGTCACAACAGCAGAGTTCTCAACTTTAGGTCTGTCCTCCCCCTCTCCCTCTTCCCTTCTCTCTCTCCCCTACAGTACCGCATTAATGGATAACGGGAAATCCCATATACATAGTGTTAATTCATACACCGGTGGAATAATTCCACGAATTACCATGAATCATATCAGCAAATGAATTACAGTATCGGTGCATTAGAACGATCCATTAACCAAGGGGTATTCTTGCCTTTGTGTGCCGTATTCTATCACACTGATGTACAGGCAAACGGTTCTTGATGTGATCTGTGTACGTGTGTGAGAGACAGTGTGTGCAAGCCTTAGCAAGCATGTGCAAATAGTTGGCAGTCGAGCCAAGCTGCAGAGGATAGGAGAAAGTGGCGATATCAAACAAGAGTGACTTGTGTTTTGTTCGCACGCACGGGGACTTGGCCAGTGCATGATGTAATATTATACGTGTGTACATTCCAAGCCAACACCTCACTCCCATGTCCTGATTCTAGGATCGTCCAACTTCCAAATGGGTCTGTGTGTCTGTCAAACCCTCGGTCCGGGGAGGGAGAAGGAGCCGAGACAGAATGGACTGCCGAGTCGCTGAAAGAACTTCTGGAGACTCACAAGACCGCAAAGGCAGGACCTTCTCTCTTCCCTAGCTCACCTATAACTCCCCTTCCCCTCTCCCTGCAGGCTGGTCTGCCCATTCTGCTGAAGGTAAACTGCTGTCCCAATGTGACTGGTCCTATTCCTCTCATCCCAGCCGAGAGAGATGAAGACTCAGGTGAGTGTACCTCCCTCTCCTCCTCCCGGCTCTGAGCTCTCTGTGTTCCACAGTAAGCTGCCCCGACTCTGCCAGGGAGTCCACGGCCTCCTCCCCCTCCCCCACTCCCCCTCCTCCCCCTCTCCCCGAGCACATCTCCGACCTCATCCAGAAGGGAGTCTGCTACATCGAGTACAAGGAAATCAACCTGGAGAGGGAGCTTGGCTCGGTGGGTGCCCATCTTCCTACCTCTCCTCTTCCCTCTCTCTTCTCTTATCATCCGTATTTCACTCTAGTTCTGCCCTGTATCCACGGTGGGCGTTAATTGGAAATGTGTGTTGTGTATCCACAGGGTCATTTCAGCACAGTATGGGGAGGGACCTGGAACGACAAACAGGTAGGACCACATGTCTCACTGCATACCGTAAACTATGCTGATTCATGCTAACTCTAGGAATGCTCCGTGTGCACATGAATCAAATTCACACAGGTTTCCCCATTGTGTAATGTTAGTACTTCACAATATTACGTTTGGGCCTTCACATGTGGTAGAAAACCCAGTTTGTGTGTGTCGTGAGTAGTTAATGCCAAGTTTTTAGATAATGTAAAATAAGCTCCAATTACTTTTGTGGGATTCACTTACTGTGTAAAGGGACATGTGTATTGTACGTGATGAGTAGTTGCAGGCTGTTGGTCGCGGCGCTATGGTTACGGGTGGAGGAGTGAAGGCATTGGCTGGCGTTCTCTTGTATTGAGACAGAAACGCAGCCACCGACAGCTGGTGCCTTGGCCAGCCATCCTAGCTCCATTAAAGCCCTCTGTGGACTGGAACCATCGTGCAGCCAGGGGTACTGTACCTGGCCGGTGCCTCCCCTACCAAGGCACCTCTATACAGCTTGTGGTCGCGGCAAGTAAACCAACAGGCATAGGTACATACCTAGTCAGTGTAGCCAATTAAATAGCAATGTGTTCCGCAACATTACGCAACAATGCCATGTGCAGGGGTTCAAGTATTTGTCATTACCAGGGGCAAACAGGCAGGTAATCCAGGGTCACGTCGTCTGGTATGATCGGCAGTAAATGGTGCTTACTACCTGTGCACATACCTGTAATGCCTATGACAAGATGTGTTCATTCTGCCCCTGGATCAGGTTGCAGTAAAAGTTCCTAGTGGTCTGACTACTGGCTCCGCGGACCTGGTGATGAAAGACCTGACCAGGGAAATTGAAGTGATGGCTGCTCTGGATCACCCACACATTGTCAAACTGTACGGAATAACTCACAGTGAGTGGGCGGGGCATCTGCAACAACAGCTTCACGTCATTATTGGTCTTGTGTTGTTAACTTGCCTGCAGCTCATCATTTCGTGCACTCTCTCAAGACGGTGATGATGGTTGTCATGGAGTTTGTGGAGGGGGGCAGTCTCAGCAGTCACCTGGAGAAGATCAAGGTGAGCCACTGCAGCTGCATGCCAGTGGGAGATTAGCTCTCTCCCTCTCTCTCCTCCCTCTCCCTCTCGTGGTTGATCTGCTGACAGAGGACAGCCAGCACCCAGCGAGAGACGACACAGAGTGTTCTCACAAGCAAGAAACTCAACTTCATTCAGTTTGGATTCCAGATTGCCGAGGCCATGGAGTACCTGGTTAGCACAACCCTAGTGATTATTGGCGAGCAAAGTGAGCCCCCACCTGTTGTGTGAATGTGGAACATTGCGAGTGAAGCTCTAGTATCTTGCTGAGTGACTGGTACATGTATCTCCTCCCACTCAGGGTCAGAACAAGTTGGTACACAGAGACCTCGCCACCAGGAATGTGCTGGTGGTGTCTCCCACCCTGGTGAAGGTCTCTGATTTTGGACTGGCTCGCCAGTTCAAGGAAGACAAGAACTACTACCCTGCCTCTCAGAGCAAAGACGTCCCCATCTATTGGTATGCAGGCCCCTCCCCTCCCCCTACTCCTGTACTACAACCTATGTCTCCACAGGTTTGCGCCAGAGTGTCTGCAGTTTCCGCAGAGGTTCACCAACAAGTCAGACGTCTGGAGCTACGGAGTGACGCTGTGGGAACTGTTTTCTCTCGGCAGCAACCCCCGTGGCTACCTGGGCCCTCTCATCCAGGGAAAACCTGCCAATGAAATATTCAAAATAGTGAGAGACTCGCCGCACACGATTGACTGTTGTCCTCTCTCTCTCTATTTCCTCAGTTAGTGGAGTTCTATAAGATGCCAAAGAACAGGCTCCCGGCTGTATCTCCCCTGCCGCAGAACGTGTACGAGCTGTTGCAGCACTGTTGGGCCTTCCACCCTGCTGACAGACCTTCATTCACAGACCTGAAGGACAAGATTACCACCCTTTACTGACCCCTACACACACTCTCACACTATCACTTCCCCTCCTCCCCACCCTCCCTCTTCTCTCCTGTTTTTCACTCATGATTTGTTGTCATTTTTGTTAGTCCTTGCTTCGTGTCACTGCCCCGCACACCCACCCACACTATATCATGTGTACCGTACATTTTATTCTCTTGTACCACAATAATTATGTGTCCCGCCATGTGTTGTTATTGCAGTAGTCAACTCTCATGGAATGTTGCAAATCCGGCTAACGAGGACCTGTTGAAAGACGACGTAATTGGCTTGATGTCATAACGATGTAATGTGAACACCCTACCTCTGTTGTTGAGGAGGTGTTGCTTAGCTCGGCAAAAGGCGAGGATGTCGGCGTCAGCTCTGGGGTCCCCAGTCAGGGGAACCACGCGGGGGGTAGTCAGGGGGTCCAATTTTGAATGGGGAGGGGGTGAGAGGTGGGAGGAGCGGAAGAGAAGTTGCGAATGAGAAGGTGTCCTACTGACTAAGGGAGCATTTCTTATTGCGGCGCCTGATTGGTCAGAAGTCTGTCCTGGCCGACTACTGTGGTGTCCTGAACTCTGTTTTTCTGAGTGTCGTCCTGAACTTTGGTGCTGTCCTGAACTTGAAACGACGGAACACTCTGAGGAGACTGCGGAATGTTGTGGGAGTGGCTTTTGTAATTGGGTGGAGATGGGCGGAGTCCTCCAGGCACACCTGCTGGCCCCACCCCCCTGCATGAGACACTCAATGAGACAGCGTTCACATCATATCTGGTTACCTTGGCAACCTGATTCTGCCACCAGGCCTCGAACTCCTGTTGGACTTTGACCTTGGCCATGTGGAGGAGATGTTGTGTGTGTTCGATCTCAGTCTTCATTCCACGCAGTCTCTGGTACAGAGACCGGAACCTGTGGAACAGGAGTCTGGGGACCTGGCGCTAGAGGTCAACTGACACACCTCGCCTTCTCTGCCTCAATCTTGGTCTTCAATTCTCTCTCTCTCTCCTCCTGCCCATCCACCTCTGATGACACACCTCTTGTCAGACCTGCAGTCACACACATCTCATAATCAGTGCCAATATGGACTGCAGAAACAGAAGTTGCCGACATGAGATTATCCACGCAAAAAGTAGCTACTCGGTGTAGCCTACGTACTTGTATCAGCCCTGAATACTGACCAGCTAGTCCCTGGGAGATACGATGTTTCTCCAACTGTCCTTTCAACTCATCTGATCAACAAATGAAAAGCACTTAAGTACATACAAACCC